TGGATGGTTATTCTGTTATATAGTGTGCTGAATAGCAAATAAAACTAAAATATCTGAATTCTCTCGACCTGCACTGCTACTGCTTTGACTCGTTTCAGTGTTAAGATATAAAACATCATAAATTCTTCCCAGTCCATTTTGCCAGCTGTGTCAACTAAAATGAAACACCTTCACATGCACACACACAGCGCCCCATAGACAGCTATACAGTCATCTGTTGAAGAAGGTCCTCATTAAAAGGCTCCTCACTGTGATTTTACCACAGGCCTGTTAGAGGTTAGGAGTATAAGATCCTAAATGAAGAAGAGCTCAACATGAACACCATTCACTTTCTCACATTGAAGCATGAGGAAGAGTCATTCATCCCTTTAAATCCAGCAAAGCCTGTCGCCATCTTGGTTCTTTTTTGGAACCAGCAGTGACCAAAGAGGCTGGAACTTAGTCAAACTGAATGTAAACACAACACATTTTAATGCGAATAACACGCTGTGAAGGTTGAACTGTTTGATAGAAATTCAAGGCCAGAGAGTGATTTTCATGGATGGAATATAAATGCACAGCAATTGAGCAGAAGCGTTCAATCCGTGCTCAACCAGAAGAGTCCAATGGACCTCCTGCAGCTGTACACTGAAGCTGCTGCTACACAGATGCAGGGAAGTGCTTTCTGTTCCACTCTCAGATTAGACTACACCTGATCACCGCTGACATAAACATTCAAAATGAATTAATGGCATCTCATGAGACGCTGCCTTCAGGGGACAGGACGTATCAAATACCTGCAGTTGCCACTGATGACTGATTTCTTCCAAGCATGCTCTAAATATTGCAGCATGAATTATTCTGTAATCACTGTCAGCTCTTTCTCAGAAAATAGACACATCCCGCTCTGATTTCCTGTACCATATATGCTTCATCCATAAATTGTGTGTTGCTCAGCCCTGCCTGTTAGTTTGTGCCTTTGGGACTGACTTATGTAACCATGTTAAGCTTAGTTAGCATATGGTTTGACATTTGTTTCCATGCAGGTTCATGGGCTGAATGCACAAACTAACAAGGGTTCATGGTGACTAATAATAACAGTACAGGTTGGAAAAGAGTCAGTGCTGTCACAAACAATTATGCCTGTTGTATTGTGATGATTAAAAAACAAACACAATGCACAATGCTGTGAGCGAGTCTGGATGTTAAAAAGTCAAGTGCTCTTGTGTTTCAATGGTTTGTGTTCATTGAATTGAATATTTGGCTGCAGTCGCTCTGAAGCGCTGACCCTGCTTTATTAGACTGACCTCCAAGTTGAAAAGGGCCCCTGCGTCAAAATCCAATTTCGGTATTTTGATTGCTATGTTTTTTTGCTCATATTCCTAAATGAATAACCAAATAACCAAATAGAAAATCCTCAGCACATACATAGTACACAACATGTGGGAGGAGGGGGGGTTATTATGGGCCTGGCAGCTAGGTTAATTTGACTATGACAAGATGATGCATGACTGAATCACAGCAAAGGTATATGGACTTAAATTGAATTGCAACTTTTTATCCTGATTTCAGTTAACACAATGTGGTTTTTGCACATTTCATTAACACTGAGTTGAGTCCACATTTTTATATCAAGGATCAGAAACACTTCTTTTAAATTTGAATACATGCCTTTAACTTTACACCACCTGCCTTTTTGTTTGCATACATATGTCTTTTGTTTCTGCATCACTATGTTTTATTCATCTTCATGAATTCTTAATATGTTAAACAGTGTCTGTGTTTTCATTCATCATAATTCATTCATCAGTTTCAGCATGCATCACAATCCTCTTGAAGGAGGACTTTGTGTTGGCAGAGTTTGAATATGTTTGAAGTGAGTGAACACTTAGTAATGTAAAGTTGTAACAACTTCTTGGGGGAAATTGTATTCTAGTATTAGTCTATTATAGTCAGATAACATAATTATCCACTGTCTTCCCTATAGGGAATATAATGAGTGCATTTAATCACATGTTTTACTTGGTGTAATGTGTTTTGGGGCCATCAAATCAAATTACAACAGGATTGTACGGTTAGGAAAGCATAATAAGTATGATGTATAGTTAAAACAATATTGGATGATAGTCATTATTTTTGAGTGTTTTGGACTGAGATAAATCATGGGTCAAAATGTACCCGCGAACACCATGAACGGTAACATCTTTCGAACACAACACAAGGGTTAAATAACCATGCATTGCGCACCGTGAAATGAATAGTTGTTTATGTACTCACGGGTGCCATCGAAGCGAGTGGCGATGGTGTCCAAGAAGGTGTTTTGTGGCGCGATCAGACCTCGCATCACCGGCATCCGGGAGCGGGTGGATCCGCGTCTCTCCCGGCGCTCAGAGCCCTGGTTCTCGGGAGGAGCAGCCACGAAGCCAGGCAGGAACCTGGACGAGGTCCCCGGCGCTCCTCCTAACCCCTGGAGGAGGGCGCCGAGCCGAGACACCCGGGACTCCACGGTCCCAAAACCACCGACCACCGAGCAGGTGATCCCGGCCGAGAGGAGCAGAGAGGAGCCGCTGGAGGCAGCCGGGGAGCGGATGGAGAGATGGAGGCGAGGATGGTCACATTTACGCACGGGTGCACTGCGATGCAATCCCCCTCTCCTCCTCTCCTCCTCTTCCTCTTCCTCTCTCTCTCTCTCTCTCTCTCTCTCTCTCTCTCTCTCTCTCTCTCTCTCTCTCTCTCTCTCTCTCTCTATCTATCTCTCTCCCTCACTTTGTATGTCTTATTCTTCCTCCACCAGCAGCCTCTCTCTATCTTTTTGATATGCAGTCTCTCCTCACCTCTCATCCTCTGAAGTGATGTATGTCTTCTGATGTCTTTATTGTGAAATATTTATTCTCTGCCATGTTTCACACTTAAAGCTGCTACATAATCTTGCATTATTACATTCCTACTTTCTTTCTTCTTGCACTGTTTTTTATTGTGTTATGTTTTATTTGTTTATGTTGCATGGTTGGAGGAGCATGGGATTTAAGATTTCCCTATCCATATCTACACAAAGCACTTTGAATTGCCTTGCGTTGAAAGGTGCTATATAAATAAACTTGCCTTGCCACACTGTAGCTACTGTGCATATGACAATAAAGCCTTTGAATCCTTGAATAAATATGCCACCCCCAAATATACCCAATTAATGTTATGAATTAATTCATATATTACACCACATATGCTTTTTGTGTTAATCCACATGTGCCTATAGGGTTATTAGAGTTGTGTGGGAAGAACATGTGACATATGTTCTAAATGGGAAGCATTCACATGTGTTTTTTTGGACCAGCGCTCTGGAGACTGGATGGATGCTCATAATTAAAATGTATTTACCCTCATTTTGGCTTGGGCAATGTTTTATTTCAATTTAAATGAAATGGCATTAAAATATGGGACACTGGTGAAATTACAGGGGCAATTAAGAATACTGGATTGTAATTTGTACCCACAGAAATGCAACTTTTACTCGATGTGTCTGCAGGTACAGTATGAGTTATTGTTGAGTGAACTGTATGACTTAAATCTCACACAAGCAGACATCTGTCCTTAAAGCCTCCAGGGGTCAACAATTGGTGAGAAAAGAAACACTATATGTGTCTCCAAACTCAAAATCCTGAGGTCGTTTTTCTCAAGGTGGACATTTTTACACTCCATGCCTCAGGAATCCCAATGGGTCTGTTATTCCCACTGGTGGAACGTGAGAATAACTCTTCTTTCTGTGCTTCAAAGCAAACACATATACTGTAGGGAAAAGTATACGTGCAAGACATAAGGAAAGAAGGTCCTCCATAAGACATTGTACTTTGTCCTCCACTGCATGTTAATTATAGCTGTAGTTAAAAGTTACTTTAGGATAAAACTTCAAACATACAACTTGAGTTTATAAAATAGAATGCATCATAGTGATACATGAAACTACCCTATGTTTCAGTCTGTAAGAAAACAAAGCAGGTGAGTCAGTAATGACTTGTTGCCTGTGTTGCACCACATGACTGCTTCTAGAAAACAGACTTAAGGGAGAGCTACTGTCTGCAGATCAAAACAAGTTAAATTGAGGCATCCATACCAGTAACACCTCCTGAGACATGAGAGCTCCTCACTAAACCACTGCAGCAAGACGCTGTCAATCACATGAGAGGAAGCTAGGTGGAGGAAGGAGGAGTGGTGGTGCTGCAGAAGAAGAAATCAAATGAATGCACTTTGGTCTGGATGTTAAAGATTGCAGTGCTCCTCTTCTCTAACACTGAAATACAGGCCATGAGTATTAGTAAGGAAATGCTGCCCTCTACAGGACAAGAAGCTCAGGTAGCCTAAGAGACATCAATATATTACAGTTGTTTCATTGGCTTTGGCTCAAATCATTAGTCTCGTTCACGCAAATGTGTGTTTTAGTTCATTTGAGCAAGAGAGTAGTGGAATGGGATACTAACTTTCTTAACTAGGATACCAACTTTCCTATTAAAGAAAGTATATATCTCATTCACTACCTAGCCTCCAACATGAAGTTTGTTTGTGACTGACATCATAACACAAGATGCTCCGGTTCTTTCTGTTGTTTTCATCCACTTTATTTCAATTTTCCTCTCCTCCAGGTGTGTTTATGAAGCAGGTGCACTGAGCACTCGGGATAAATTGCTTTTCCCAGCCGTTGCGCATGCGCCCTGGTGGCCAACTCGAGTAGAGGCCCGCCCCTTTATTTTAAACCAGACCGACCTCCAATGTAGGCTGTCTTTAAAATTATTAATTAAACCACATTTCCCTGCACTTTGTAAAAAAGAAAGCACTAGAACTGCTAAACTAAACTCAGCATTTACAGGACTGCAACACCAAAGTGTCCCATTACCAGTGGTTTAAGAAGTAAAAAAGGACATAGTATAGTACTTGAAAAAATGAACCTCCTGTTCTCTGTTGCTATGTCTTGACATTTTCCAGATAACCCCCCAGGAATTGAAAAAGGAAATGAAGGCAAAACAAATTGCAACATGTGGAACAAACAGTTTAATACAAATATAAAAGTTTGGCACAATGCAGGTAGACAATTTACAAGGAATATTTCAGAATAAATACCATGCTGTATTCTTGAGAATAAGCAGATTTGACTAGCATTGATACACTAACACTCCCGGTGTACAAAGTGAAGCTAAGTCAAGTGTGACGAGTATAAAGAAAACAGTAGATGAGGCCCAGAAAGGAGTGGACGCTGGGCCGTGTGTTTCTTCACTGTTAAAAAGACAAAACAGTCCCTCAGCTTTCCTGCTGTCATTCAATTTGATTAAAAAACAATGTTTGACTGATAGTTCGGTCAAACATTTACATATGGAAAACCAGTAGAGTGATGTAAGGCACAGGGAGGACCTCCTGCTGCCGACAGTCAGACATCCGGCTCGTTTGTGGAGAAACTGGCATGTTCCTCAGGTCAGAAACATGTTCCCTTTGGGAAGAGAGGAGGAAAGATCACTTCAATAACATGTCAATACTGCCAAATCACATCGTAAATATTACATGTTGATGCAATGAGCTATTCTACAGAGTGTTATTGCCCCCTAGGTGGAACAGTGGTGCTACATAGTTAATTTGCATATTGTATATAGACAGCAGAGGTGTAAAGTAACTAAGTACATTTACTCAAGAACTGTACTTAAAGGTCCCATGTCATGCTTTTCCGGTTATTACTCGTCCCCTTGTGTGTTATGAAGGTTTTTATGCATGTAAACCGTCTGCAGAGTCAAAAACCCTCAAAGTACACCCTGTAGCGAGTAAAACTCTAACACAGAAAATACCTCCCCCAAACGCCTCGTTGGAGATTTCTCATGTTCCATTGTTTACTTCCTGGGCACTCTGACGTGGGGTTACCCAGAGGCCACACCCTCTGCCAGCCTTTCACGAAACAAAGCTTCCCAAACCTTTCAGCGCTTCATGCCGGATATGTACAGCGTAGGGCACTGAAGAACGATGCTGTTCCTACTTTGTTTGGACCAGCGGGAGATTCAGGTACACAACCTGTAAGTATTCATTGTTGTTTGTGTATTTATAATGTTTAAAACAAACAAGGTATCTACTACGACTGTTTAAATGGGTAAACGTTTTTCGGGCTACTACGTTGGGATCGTGGGTTTGTGTGTGCTCAGGATGAGTTTCGCTTGTTCTCGCTGTATCGCCGACACGGAAGCCTGTCTGCAGCTCGCAGCAACGAGCCTCAACGTCGCGACTAATCAGAGCACACTGGGCTCACAGGGAGGGGGGGCAGGAGCTCCAACAAGCCGTTTAGGACAGAGAGTGAATACACATACTATACAGAGATGCTGTATGAGAAACCAATGTGAGTTTGGAAAATTGCACAATTTAAATCTATTCTAGTAGACCTCAACAATGGAATTATGATCAGTAGAAATGGCCATGACATGGGACCTTTAAGTAATATTTCTCTACTGACTGTTGAATAGCCGATGTATAACGGCACTACTTTATAACACATGTTAGCTGGTCCGTTACCTGTGTGCAGATCGTCTCAGTCGTCCTTCTTGTTGTCTATGAGCTCCTGGGTGATCTGGGCTAGCCTCTTCTGCTCGTCTCTCTGCTTCTTCAGCGCCTGGTCTGCCTTCTTGCTCTGGTAGATCTTCACCCCGGCGAACCCCAGACACAGGATCAGGGTCTTCAGGGCCAGGATGTAGAGAAGGAGGGGGACGTTGTCTAAAGCCTGAGGAAAAAGAGAGTATATATATATATTTCAGAATAAAAATACCTATGCATTTCCTTTTCTATCTTCTTTCTTCCAGCAATGTCTTTAAACTAAAACGAGATTAACAAAAGAACGGTTCCTTCTAGCTGGAGTGGAAAAACCTTGTTCTTTTTTTTGACAGATTTTAAAGAAAGGTCTGGAACATTCAAGGATCCTGGAGATGTTTCCAGCCCCCCCTCCCCTCCCCTCTTATCCACAAGAGGCCTCAGCTGTCCAAATGGGAGATAGAAGTAAATTTAGTCTCCAAGAGGGGAGGCGGGGTGAGGAAGAGTTGACAGCTGCTCACCATGTGCAAACGGCTCTTCTACGCAGTTGCCCAGACTTCATTCATTCATTTTTAAAACACCCTATGATTTAACAGTGCCCTTTTTTATTTGGTATACACACACACACACACAACACATAGCTTGGCATTTACCAGTGGTGGAAGATGTACTCGCATGTTTTACATAAGTAAAAGTAGAACGTAAAAGTCCTGCATTCAAAATCTTCCTTAACTACTCTGAATTGTGGTGAAGTAAAGTACAAGTACCTCAGGATTGTATTTAAGTACAATTAATGTACTTTACACCACTGGTTACAGGACATCTACGCAGTTGCCCAGGCTTCATTCATCCATTGATCATTTTAAACACCAAGTTTTAAGGGATACCATCACAACAGTGCCATTTTAATTCGGCATACACACAACCCATAGATGGGCATTTACTGTAGACATTGTCAACGTATTTATAGGGTTAGTTAAACACATTTCCAAGAATATTCTCGCAGAAATGCCCTGAACTTCACTGCTACGCACACACTTAAAGACAAATGGAGCAATGGAAAGACAGCATTGCAGAACACTGGTTAACCTTTAGCATCATGCTAATGACTGTACAGCCAACTTATAACAAAGGAACCACGTAGGAAACAGCCGTTACACTAATAACATGCATAATAGATGTATAACAGAATAAATAAGGGTCTGTTTACCTTATAGTTGATCATGATTGCGTGTGTAGTGTCAAAGTTTGTTGTTAACTGTGTCAACCGTGGAGGCTTTAATGCTTCTCTGGAGGGGGCGGGGCTTGTCGTCACGGTCCAATCAGTTGGACGTAAACTGTGCTGCGTTCAAGAGCCCCGTGGACCGTTTCAAATGACTTGACGAAGTAGTTTTTTGCAACCTTTTTCACACATTCCAAGTAATCCACACTGAGTACAGCTATTTAAATAATATTACAAACAGTAAAAACATGTTTACCCTCCCGGTTGTTTCATTTGAGTGACGTTGATTTTCATTGGTGTGAAGTTTATCCGACGGTGAAGAATGCAACGTACAACACATGGATTGATTAGCTCAGATGCTAACTATCAACTATTTTGGGTTATACATTTGTTTTGTTATTATCTACAGACTGGTACATGTCTCGAAGCAGTGAATTAGCAATAGTAGAATACTGGCAACATGCTAAATGGAGCACAAGCAGCTGTAAAATAAAATAAAAGTGTCGGGCTTCCAAAGTGCAGGTTCATTCGGATTTCCCTGGGTATCCGGCAACAATCCCCTCTTAAATCACCCTATTGGACAATGCCGATGACGTCATGTGTAAGCGAAGTTTACTGCTAATAAAACGCTTAACATCTGTTGATATGAACGTGTTGGATATTAATTATCACATGTACTGACTTTGTTTACCATTAAATAGTCACATGACTGCGTACTACAATGCGCGTCACGGTGGCCGAGAGGTTAAGGCGTTGGACTCGAAATCCAATGGGGTTTCCCCGCACAGGTTCGAATCCTGTTCGTGACGTTAATCCGTTTTTTCCCCGCACAGGCAGGTTCGAATCCTGTTCGTGACGTTAATCCGTTTTTATTTTTTTATTTTGTTGACAAAGCGGACACGAGTTCGAGTCCGACATGCGACCTTCGTCCTATCTACAACCATAGAAAACTTAGATATGATCACTTATTCACTGTGTGAATGCAATATATGTGGATTCATTGTAAGATTTCTTAAAATATATTGGGTTTAATCTAAGCATTATTAAGGTAACACCCGTGATTTAATAAATGAGCTAAATGTAACATCATTAAGGAGAATAGTCATAACAAGCATTTTGAATTAGCAAGGTAACTTGAAAATGTACTTTATTACACAGACTTTATACAGTTGTAATCACCACAGTTGTATAGAATGTAAATACATGTAATATTGAAACTGGAGTGTAGATACTGCAAAACTGGCAATGACAGGGCATTTGTATTGCGTCTGCAAATAAATTAAAATCATGACAAACAGATGCCTCATATGTTGTTTTCTAAGTAGAATAAGAATGTCATTGTTGGACAAATACCATGTAAAGTACATATATTACCTACCATCTCCATACGAATGTAAAATGAAAAAATAAAAAACGATATGGCATGCAGTTTGTCTCCAGCTACATACAGTTTATACATTTTCAAAAGGTTCACATGCTGTCAAAAGCGAGGAAATAACTGAACGTACAGCTTGATCTGTGATGTACAGGCAGCACACACTGACCTAATGGCTCACTCTGCATGTGCAAAGACAAAAATACTTATCCTTTTCATTAAAGTGACTTGAAATATACTCATCCCCGAGTCTTTCTCCATTCTTCCACATGTCTATTTGTCAGTATATTAATCTTAAGTTGCCTCCATCTATTCATCCAGAGTAAATCTTACCACAGACTGAACCATTCATCTACACATTTGAATTCCCTTATTGTAAATACATCCCATGAAAACCTACAGTGTCATAATCATTCAGAGAATTCACACTGGCTGGTACTTTTGGGTCATTTCACCTAGCCAAGGTTTAGTTCAGATCATTTCAGAAACACTACATCCCTAAATGTAACACAGGTGCTGAGCAGTGGTGTAACAGTGATAATAAAAGCTGAGTTTGAGCAGAGAAGTATCCTTCCTTGTTTACCCAAACAACCATCTCTACCTTTGCAAATCTATAACCCTGGTGCAACTTGATCATGCTTGTGTTGGTCCGAAATGATACTATAAGCCTGGTTTCCTTCCTCTGTCTGTGATTAAATATCTTTTCCCCTGCTCAGTATTTTCTCTCATACATTATTTACAACTAGAGGTAGGGTGTTGCTGTATATATCATCTTCTGGTCATGTTGTGCCGGTAACAGCAAAGTGAAACAGTCCCTGCAGCGTTACAGCACTTCCTGTCTCTGCAGACAAACTGGGAGTTTTTAGCCGCTTCTATCTTCTTAATATATCAGTAACGTGCTCTGTTGTTGGTCCTGGACATGGTGAGAGGCAGAGACACGGATGAGAGAGAGGAGACCTCCCAATAAAGAGAGCGGGACAGGAACAGCTGGTAGAGGATCACCATGGAGATGGTCTGGCAGAGGATCACACCGATGGTCACCACCTGTAACGAGAGAAGAAGAGATGGAGGGTCAGAGACAGCCGATGAACACTGGTGACCATTATGTTGCGTTGCTGAAATGTTATGAGTCTTCATACCTTCTCCCTCTGGTGTGCGTTAAAGATGGCGGACGTGAGGAAGATGACAGGATGGCAGAGGAACCACAGGAAGCATCCCTGCAGAGGACAATTGAAGTCGTTTTTTGAGTGACGTTGATTTTCATTGGTGTGAAGTTTATCCGACGGTGAAAGAATGCAACGTACAACACGTGGCTTGATTAGCTCAGATGCTAACTATCAACTATTTTGGGTTATACATTTTTTTTTGGTATTATCTACAGACTGGTACATTTCTTGAGGCAGTGAATTAGTGATCGTAGAATACTGGCAACATGGACACACGGATCACCACCTGATGCAGACTGGTGTGTCTTTCGGGCACATTAGCTTACTGTGTATTTATATGTCTTACCTTGGCGAAGCACAGGTAGAAGTCTCTCTTCAGGGTGCTCCTCTCAGTGGAGATGATCTGGTAGAGGACGGAGGCCAGCAGGAGGGCGAGGACCACCCGGAGAAGCATGAGGAGCAGAGCGGCGACACTCTGCTGGACGTGGAAGCTGTGATGCTGACCCTCGGATTCAGAAAACTGCTCCCACAGCAGCAAGCCTCCCTGAGAACGACACAGTTTCACTCTCAATAACTTGAATATTATCATAAGCTGATGTGTTTATATCCAAACCACAGGCAGGTTTATCCACATGCATACACAATCTGAGGTTTTTAAATGAAGCCTCAAATGTCTGAAACCGAATCCTCTATTTGAATAAAGTGAATCATTCATAAATGTTCAAAGTTAGTTTTTTTTGTTATTAAATCCACATTCTTTATTTAATATAACTCGTCAGTGGGAGCCTCCCTTTGAGTGTGGCAAACAGGAGGGCCAACACTTTTTTCAACACAGTTAAATATTGTTTTTGGACTTGAGTTATTGGAAATATTTGGACCACACAAGTCAGAAACAATTGTATGCAACCAAAACTGGAATCTAATTCTACAAATAACATCATATTAAGAGTGTAGCCTACTCTTTACCTGCAACTATGCATGATTACCAACACAATAAATAGACATGATTTAGAGTGTGTATACAAAGTGTATCTTCATGAAGCCCTGATAATAGCGTACCTGTACGACGACCCCCCCCCACAGCCACGGCCCTGGACCTCGGGGTCTGTTCCCACTGCAGAGGGCCCGACTGAGGCTTCCTGCCGCGGCTCAGAGTCCAGCCCACACACAGACTCAGCAGCATGTACAGCATGGACACCTGGGACACCATATCCCAGACTGCACCGGGAGCAGGAAGGGGAAGAGAAGATGGCACACAACTTAAAACTAAGGCCCAATCCCAAACCACGCCCTACACCCTACCCCTACCCACTACCGTTTGCGCGTTTTTTACTTGGGATCATACCCTTGTTTCGTCTAGAAAAAAAATGTGTGCATTTTATTATAAAGTTGTGTATATTTACAGACTGTTGCAAAAACTAAGAAGCTTATAAAAATCAGGTTTAAAACCAAAAGAGCTTTACAAAAAAGCAACACAATTAAAGATATTTGGAGTTTTATTTGAGTTATTAATGTTAATGTTTTGTCAAAGAGATGCTGATTTGAAACCGTTGTTACATACAGTTACGGCATTTCCTGTTTCTGCCGGAGAGGGGAGTTTGTCCCAAAGCTTGCCGCTGTATTTACTCCCTCCATCTGACAGGAGGGAGCCTCGTTGAGCTGCGAGTGTCACTCCACGGAGTTGGAGTGTGTAGGGGTAGGGTGTAGGGCATGGTTTGGGATTGGGCCTAAATGTATACATGAAATATGAATACAGAGGAACATACACTCTGCCAGGCTGCCCATCAGATGAAGACCAACACCGTCTCTGGAGTACCTGCAGAACAGGAAACAGTGTATTCATTAAATACATAACAAAGAACACTGTAATAAAAATGTTTAAAAGCAATCAAAGGTTACTTTCTTAAAAACTACGTGTGGAATCGCTTATTAATACGTACATCATTATCACTCTTGCCTTCAACTCCTAATCCACTAACCCCTCACCCTTATTCCACCTAGCTTAGCACTTTTTACTTATGTTGCTATTTTTCATCTTTACTTGCTTGTAAAGCGCTTTGAGCACCAGGAAAAGCGCTATATAAATCAAATGTATTATTATTATTATAATAATAATAAGAGGAGGACTGGAAAAAGCCAATATCCACTTCACCAAGAACTCCTTCATTTTTACATCAGAACACTTTTATTTGTGCTTGGAAATACTTACAGGTAAAAAAAAGGTAGGAACTGTTGTGCTGAATATTTAAATGTGATGTAATTAGGTCTCATGTCAGATGTTACCTGGCCAGGTGGATGTAGCTGCAGAGCGCGGAGCAGCCCTGCAGAGCCAGCACGGTGCTCAGCACTTTGAGGATGGAGTGCATCGGGCCGCCTTTCTTCAGAGCCTGCTGCAGAGGCTTGAAGTAAATACAGCTCGCTATGAAGTAGGCCAGCAGCAGGAGGAAGTAAAAGGTGTGGAGACCTGGGAGAGCGAGAGAGAATATAAGAGTCTGTCACTCATGAATGATGGAGAACAATTCCTACATCTCTGGATATTAAACATTGGGCATAGAGCAAACCATTAGGCACTTTGAACCCTTTGAATATGTAATGTATTCTGAGTACACACAGAGCACTGGGTGTGGATATCTAACAAGTAACATGTAATGTAATATCTCTATTAAGACAGAAAATAAGGTTAATGAAAGGCCTTTAATGCAAGCAGATGTGTGATAAGAACCTAATAAAAGTCCTGATGGTAATATGTTGATGTCTGACCTGCCTCCTCTGCGCTGAAGTGCTCCAGAGGATTTCCTGCTGAGTCAGCGTTGAACAGCAAGATAGAGAAACTGAGATCAGGGTGAGAAGGGATCACTGCATCCTTCTGGAGAGACAGGAGACAAAGAGTGATACATTACTGCTGTCAATACCAAAATAACTAATAGAAGGGTTATTGGGTGACTTTGGTTAGTGTTTGATTCACAATAGTCCCACATTAACACAAAAAACTAACTACACCAGGAACCCTTGTGTTCTGCGAGGTAAAAATAGGATTTTATGATTTGTTTTTCCCGAGCAACAGCTGTGGTTTTCCGGCAAAAATGACTTGACGTGTTGAGAATATCATAAATATATTGTACACTTCAACTGATATCGGGTTGCTAAACTATATTTTGCTGCTTCCCTCCTTCCACAGAAGTGTTCTCCTTAGCGTACTCCTCTTCAAAATACCCAAACTATCCCTTTAAGGCGGTTTAGTTTGATAGTTACCCGACATGTGTATCTGTCTGCGTACAGGACCTGCCAGGCTGTCGGAGTCGACTGTTTATGGATCGTCTGGTTGTATTCATCTACAGTGAGAGAAACTGAAGCAGGAGGACAAACACAGTGACGTTAGGGATGAGAAAAAGAATACAATCAAAGCAGCTCTGTAGTGTAGTGTCTCTTCTTACTGGCGTGCTGAGCTTTGCTGATCCTCTCCGAGCAGTTGAGGCTCTCCAGCTCTGAGTCCATGTCCTGAAACAGCAGCAGTCTGGACTCCTTCTCTGTGGCCAGGGGAACGTTATCCAGCCGGATCACCAGCAGACCATCAGAACCTGAGACAAAACGGGTCAGAGATATGTATTTATTTATACGATTCATCAGATCATCATCATCAAATCATCCCTGCAATTCTCACTATGCATTTTTAGTGTCAGCATAAATGACTCACTCACAGTTATTCACCACAGATGGCATTACACAGCATTTGAGGTCGTTAACATTTTTTTTCTATACGAGTGTTGGTTTTAGTTTTCCATTAGTTAAAAAAATATATATTTAAGAAATTACCACAGTAGATATAATCCGATTAAGTGATGAGGTCCATCCCATAGGTAAATAAATATAGATAGATACTTTATTGATCCCAAATTGGGAAATTACTTTGTCACAGCAGCAGTGTGTTCACGCATTAACATATTTAAAAGGTGGAATATTATTACAAATAATAGCCTACTGAAATGTTTGCATCAAAAAATGACAGTATATTGAAAGACACTTCGTCATTACACCATGTTAAAATACTAATTAGTTACAAACAGATGAAGATAAGCCTGTCACTGCAGAAATGACACGTTTGCATCTTTAAATCAGTGTTACCTTGGTACATGAATTTAGTGATGAACTGTCCTCTCTGCTGCCTCGCTGATTCACTCTTAAAAAGTCCCGTCACACTTTTACCAAAAGCCTCAGAATTAAGCAGCACCAAAGCTGTAAGTGTGGCTAATAAATACGACATTTTTAACCTAATGCAGTTCACCGTTATCGACAAATAAACTCATGTATTCAATAAGCCACGAAGCGCCTGCTGACAGTTTGATTGATTTGGAATTCAGCGAATCAAACCGCGCCTTTGTTTCGCTGTCATGTGAAGCAACCAATCACATTGCAGAAACCAGTGTACATGTGATGGATGTCCCGCCTCTTTTCAACGTGTCAACACTGCCGTAAAACGCCCGTCAACTGTCGCAACGCACACAATGTATGTAGTGTAGTGAAGCTTATGGAATAGCATAACTTCCTGTTAGCTTGCCAGCAATAAAACTGTAAATATTAGCATTAAAAGGTCGTTATTATGTCTGTAGGAGACCTTCATGTGCTATGACTAGAATATGGACTTTAACAGCACTGTTCTGGTGACTGGAGGCTCTGGATTCATGTGAGTTTATACTATAAATGCAGAAATATATGAATGATGTCCATTAAGCACAATTCAATTACAGTTTGTATCTGAATAATTACTGTTTGTAGACGATTCTAACACTAATGTTGCATTACAGTCGGCTACACAGAGTTTAATTCACCTCCTAAATACGCAAAATATGAATAATGTTACTATTGTTATTCCTCTTATTCATGCATTAACCAATAAGCAGATGCAGCTGGATGTGGTTGATCTGTAAGCATCTGTGCGCAGAGACGATGAAAAGTACGATATTATAGTATAGTATTTCCATTCTCTGACACTCCTATTTCATTTTATTTCTGAGGCCAATATTTAACTTTTTACTCCTCTAAATTTATTTTTAAAACACTCAGTGGAATCAACAAAACATATCATTGCGTTTGTAGCAATTTGTATGGGTTTTTAAATCATCTTTAGCTGTCAAATAAAGGTGTACAATTGCATGAAACCTCAAAATTGAACTCCTTTTATCTTCTCCTTCCAGCGGCTCACATCTTGTGTGCTCGCTGGTCACCAAACACCCTGACTGGAGGATAATAAACCTGGATAATGTAAGTCTCTCCTGGTTTTTATGTACGTATTTTAGTATGTTTTACTGAGCTAAATGTCCCTGATCCTCTGATCTCTTCCAGCTGGATTACTGCTGCAGCCCCAGGAGTCTGGAGAGTGTGGAGGACAGAGCAAACTACACTTTCATCAGGGTGAGAGCTTAGATCCATTCATGGAAAACAGTGACCTTTTTACCTTTAGAGTGTTTTAATATATAAATCTACTTCTTTCCTCCACAGGGAGATGTGTGTAACTCACAGCTGGTAAATCACATTTTCAACACAGAGAACATCGATGTGATCTTCCACCTGGCGGCCAAAACACACGTTGGTGAGCAGCAGCACTCCACCTCACATTTCTATTAAAAACCCGCCTCTCATTGCCTAACTTTTTGTTCTTCTTTCCTTGTCAGAGACGTCATTCGAAGCCCCGGCTAGTTTCCAGCGTGTGAACATCGAAGGGACCAGAGTTTTACTGGCAGCCGCCCATCAGGCCCCACACCAATCACAGCGCTTCGTCTACGTCAGCACTGATGAAGTGTACGGAGAGGGGCTGGATCAGGTCAGTGGGCAGGGGTTACGGTCCTAGAAAGATGGAGAGTTTTTGGATTGATTACAAGATTTCTATTTATTTTTGGTGTTTGTTTTCGCAGGTATTTGATGAGAGCAGTCCAGTGAGGCCCTCCAACCCGTATTCTACCACCAAAGCAGCTGCAGAGTACCTGGTGCGCTCCTACTGGGACAAATATAAGGTTAGGCACAAACAGTACAATGTGTGGAAACGATTTATTTACATACAATATATCTGTTTTGAAATTCACTGCATTTGCTATTTTTTGCTCATTCTGATAGTTGAAATAACAAGACATACAGATCTAGATGTTGTTCCTGACAGTTCTTTGAATATGAAATCCTGCTTTGTGTTTGTTTTACTAGTTTCCCATCATCATCACCAGGAGTAACAACATCTACGGGCCACGGCAGTACACTGAGAAGGTACTTTTGTACTTTGCTTGGAGCCATTGTGTACAATATATATATATAAGCACTGTTAGGTAACATTTTGTCTGTAGTACAGCGGCTTGCCTTACCTGGTTCAGTTATAAGGCTGTAAACTGTAAAGCTAAAAAAAACATGCTAGTAGTTCATTTGAAATGTAACATTATTTTCAAAAAGCAAAACCTCTTCTTGATCTTTCAGGTTATTCCCAAGTTCCTCACCCTCCTTCAAATGAACAAGAAATGGTAGGTTTGAACTTTACTTTGAAATAGTTCTGCAGAGAAACCAGCTTAAGTATTCATTCATAAAAAATAAATCAAATCTGAACCCCTCATTTCTCCTGCAGCACCATCCAAGGAACCCTCCCTAAATCCCGGCACTTCCTGTTCGTCGATGACGCCATCAACGCCCTCCGGCTCGTCCTGGAGAAAGGCATTGTGGGAGAAATCTACAATGTGGGAACAAGCTGTGAGATTCCCATCATGCAACTGGCTAAGGAGCTCGTTAAAATGGTGGGTTTAGAAACTGCTGATGTAAAAACAGATAGGAGGAGGTAGCAGATGTTAAAATATCTCATCCATTGTGTTTCAGGTCAAGAACGTGCCGGACTCCGAGGTGAACGATTGGCTCGAGTTCGTGCCTGACAGGTGAGCAAACTAATTAAATAATAATAATGGCACATCTACTTAAATACATTTTAATACTGTTCATATACTTTGGTACGGCTACGTAGTCTTCATTTGTTCTCTTACTTTATTATTAATTATAGTCAAAGACACTTCACATGGTAAAATTCATAGAAACAACACACTTAAAATATATAAAACACAACAATAATATAATAAAAGAGTGTAGTACTTTACATCCACCAGCTAAGTGAGTTCCTCTTCCTACAGGCCGTGTGTCGACCTGCGATATCCAATCAGCTGTGAGAAGATGCAGCAGCTGGGCTGGAGGGCGGACGTTTCCTGGACTGAAGGCATCAGACAGACTGGTACTGAAACACACACACACACACACACACACACACACACACACACACACTTTAACAGACTAACACACACACACTTTAACACAGACTAACACACACACACACACTCCAACACAGACTAACACACACACTTTAACACAGACTAACACACACACACACACACTTTAACAGACTAACACGCACACACTAACAAACTAACACACACACACTTTAACAGACTAACACACACACACACACACACACACACTCCAACACAGACTAACACAGACTAACAGACACACACACACACTCCAACACAGACTAACACACACACTTTAACACAGACTAACACACACACACACATTCTAACAGACTAACACACACACTTTAACACAGACTAACACACACACTTTAACACAGACCAACACACACACTCCAACACAGACTAACACACACACACACACACACACACATTCTAACACACACACACACACACACATTCTAACACTCTAACACACACACATTCTAACACACACACACACACACACAATGCTTCCCTGAAATGTGTCATTTGTTTTTTCTGTCTTTTAGTACAATGGTACCAAGATAACGCAGACTTTTGGTCGGACCAAGAACCAATCAGGAGCAAGCTGGAAAAAGTCACAAACAAATAAGTGCTTCCCTGCTTCTTGACTGACAGGATGCAGAAAGACAAGGAGCAGTATTTCCTACAAACTGAATATTTTTACATGACTGAACAAACACTAAAGACATGAGCACACGTCAGTGTCGCTGACGTGTGAGATTATTTTTCTCAAATGTTCCTAAATGATTGTCGGACCAAAAGGTGCCTTACAACAGGACGCCCTTCTACAACCAAAGCAACGTGAATGCACTTTAATAACTGTTTTGTCTGAATGTATGGAGACATTTTGCAATGACACATGGTTTGTTTAAGGCTGTTATTCCACTGACCAAATATTGTAGTGGAGATGGGCTCAAAACAGGGACGACAAGTATTACATTAAAGGTCCCATGTCATGGCCATTTCTACTGATCATATTTCCATTGTTGAGGTCTACTAGAATATTTAAATTGTGCAATTTTCCAAACTCACATTGGTTTCTCATACTAGCATCTCTGTAAAGTATATGTATTCACTCTCTGTCCTAAACGGCTTGTTGGAGCTCCTGCCCCCCCCCCTCCCTGTGAGCCCAGTGTGCTCTGATTGGTCGGGACGTTGAGAGGCTCGTTGCTGCGAGGAGCGGACAGGTTTCCGGGTCGGCGATACAGCGAGAACAAGCTAAACTCATCCTCACTCATAAACACTCACAGCCGAAGTAAAAACAATAAGTGTGGCTTGATATTGAGTAAGAAAAAGGTTTCTAACGCTGTGAGAATGGGTCTGCGGAGAGCATTTCTCCGCCATCCCAACTCGTCTATTACCAGCGTTCAGGGAGCTCTATGCAAGTCAATGGGGACTCCCTGTTAGTTAGCCAAGGGATCCTGGTGTGTGAGGTGCTCCAAGGATTGGTCCATTTGGGCCAATCCGGTCATTTGTTGTTGATCTGGGTGTTCACATGTCACAGAACCCAGGAAGCAAACAATGGAAAATGAGAAATGTCCAACGAGGCGTTCTGGGGCAGCATAGACAGGTCTTTTCTGTGTTAGAGTTTTACTCGCTACAGGGTGTACTTTGAGGGGTTGTGACTCTGCAGACCATTTACATGCAGAAACTTCATAACACACAAGGGGACGGGTAATAACCAGAAAAGCATGACATGGGACCTTTAAATGCATTAAAGTACAAGAAATATGACTGAAAACCATCTTTTAGCAACTTAAAGAGTTCATTTAAATAAACGTTTATTTTGTAATCACAGCAGCTTGGATAAGAAGGGAACAGTAGCTCATTACAAATCATTCATCAAGAGTTTTATAATTGTGTACAATGTATTTAACTTTTTTTTAATTTAATAACAAGGATCTTTTCTAACTAAAATACAACACTTTAAGGAAAAAAAAAAAAAGGCTCAAAACACAGTTTACATTTGCAAATCCAAACCTTTATTTGTGGTAAAATCAGAATAGATGCACAATTATTTTTTCTCTTCGTGCAGTGCTCCTCTTCGTGCACAACTGCTAAACTAATACATAAAGCAAATACTAACTAGCAGGCCGGGGGTGCTGAGTCCACATCGAGGGTCTGGCCAGTCAGAAATATTAACAACACTGAGCTCTACATCTCCTTTCAATTCAGTCACTAAAACAGCAATCATTCCTAAATACAACTACACACTTTTATTTCCTGTAATAACCCTCTACATTGAACTGAAAGGGAAATGGAGCGGCACAGTGTTGCATTTGTTTCCACGAAAGCCCAACGTTATTGTGCATAAAAAAGGTGCTTTCTTTGGGTCCCATTGCATGGTGCAGAGGGTCTTCTTCTCATTTAAGATGTGTTTGAAGAGTCATGATGTGTAAATGACCCCATCTTTTACCCATTTCTGATTGGCCAGAAGCTCCCCCCCATATGAGCATCAACACACAGACGCCTGAAAATATGCAAATCACAACATAGCAATAGAACCACAGTTAATTCTGTGTTATGAAGACTTTTAAAGATCACCACTTGCCAGACACTCACAACAAGGGTATTTACGGGAAGGAAAAGTGTAAAGACTCAAATGAACGAAAAAAAAAAAAACACAAATAAAATCAACATCTGACTTGGAGAGAATCTGGACACTTGTTTTTTGTACTGCATGTTTTTTTTTCTACAAAATGGTCTTTGATCGTAACGTTTTGTTAATTGTTTTATTTATTTTAATCCAAACCTTGGCATATATGGTGGTATTGTCTCAAATTTTGTTTGCCAATTAAAAGAAAATGGCTGTTTATGTTTGGTTATCATTATTGGCAATGGAGCCTGTCGCACAAACAGGTTTTTATGGATCTGATACTGAGTCCAATGAGACTTTAAAGGTAACCCGTGCAGGACGCTTCTCTAAATATGTCACATCAACTGTAGTGAGACTGTCAGCGGCTCCACGTGCACATCTTCACGTATCGGTGCAATTAACAGAAAAGGGTTGTGGCTACAAGCTGGGTACGACTTTCAAAAGTTACTGAGGAATATGAGGAAGTACTGCCACCTCATTTCAGCACACCTGTATTAAAATAAAGCAGTTTGGTTGAAGACGAAAAGATGCGCACGCTATTGGTGTTTTGGGATTTGGCACCAGTGACAGTTTTTGCGCTGACATATTTAAAAGAGAAACTCCTACACGTTGCATCTTTAACATTTAAAAAGCTCACACTACCCCAGAAAAATAGAAATTTTCACTCATACCAATGACATTCAACATTCAAGTGCCAGTGTTTTTGTTTACTGTCTTTTGGTCAAGTCACTTTGTAAAATATCAACTTTTGTATTAGGCTTATAAAAATAAATATTTCTCAGAAATGCTTGATAAATTACACAAACTAGCAGCGAAAGTAGACTCGAGAACTCTGTGTGCAAACAGCTGATTCCTACGGTTGCTGTCAACTACAACTCCACCTGGTCCCAAAAAAAAAAAACAGTTTCATATCTGGAAGAACCTTTCCGTAAATCACACACACACACACACTCACACACACACGCTCTCTCACACACACACACACACACTAAACTGTGGAGCAACCTCTCTTTTGGACACCTGTCTGCGCTACACTCACTCGCCCCTCGCACCTCTCTGAGGTTTTGGAGGGACGACAGAAGACTTCAACACTAATCTGAGTAACTGAAGTATTTTCTATAACTCGATGGGGTTCCTACAACAGAGGGGCCTTCAGGCCGCAGCAATGGGAGCGTAGCACCATTAATTGTTCGGCGACAATAGAAAGTACTCCTGCTGGAAAAAAGGTCAGTATAACGCTGTATACAGTGTAACAAACTCCACTATCCGCTCCTTTAGGGCTGGGTATCGCCGGGGTAAATTTAAGGCATCAAAAAAGGTTTTTAAAATATTCAAAAACTAAAGTGCTGACTTGTTCTAAATGACGACTTTTTCTCTCAGAGGAAATCACTTTTTGATTAGTAAAGCTGGTGGTCAAAGCAAATGTTACATTTGGGCTTTTTTACTGTACAGGGGATGGATGTATTCACAGGATGCCACCTCAAACACTACCGAGTGGCAACAACAGATATACTATATAGAGTAACAGCTAAATGCTAACACCAGCATGCTAACCGGCTCACAATGACGATGTAAGCAGCTTTTACTTGGTTGCCATCTTTGTTTCGGACGCTAGTTAATGCTAATAAGACAAAGCACACATGATTTTGTTGGTATTCGTTTTGAAGGGTATCAAACTATAGGATAATTAAATGATCTGAAGGAAATGTGTTTTATTATCTTGAACTGCTATGCTTAACAATGTCCACTAGAGAGCGAATGAGTGCGCCGACTTTCCCGTACTGCATCCGTTTCTGCATTTTTAGTATAAAATAAATAGTATGGATTCTTCATCTGACATTGAAAAAATACCCAGCCCTAAGCTAACACTTTTCAGTTTTTAGCCACTTCAAGGCACCGCGCACATGTCAGACTTCAGACTTTCCTACGGCCAGCTTCTGCTCTAATCTGAACATCGCGCGCACACAGAAAGCGGCTCATTCAGAGAACCTCAGTGACAGCGAGGTGAAAGCAAGTAAACGAACTGCGTTGCACTCACTGCAGAAGTTCAGGGGCGTTCTAACGAGGTGGGACGGGGGGGGGGTTTGGGGGCACAGTGGTAGTAACTCCAGCACAGTTTAATGGTAAATACAGCCAACAGATATCATCTATCCGTGCTAGAAAAAGACCTAAATACATTGCATATATATTTGCGTAATCCGAACAACACGACTTGACATGACCGCTCTACAAACACGATGAAAAGTGAGGTAAACTGAAGTGTTACCTTCCACGCTCCCTGCTGTGCAACTCACAACATTAGCTCATATCTTACATTGTATTTCTAGCATCAGTATCGCTATCTGCCCCCTAGTGGCTGCTAGAAGGCACAGCAATGTCTACACACCCAACAGATTCCTCACTGTACGTCGTTCTTTAAAAAGGTTTGCCTTTGAACTCGGCAGCAGGAACAGCGATTAGCATCCTCAACGTTATTACTCAAACACAAAGACTGCACTAGCTGCATACTAAGTTTCTGGTTGGCAACAGCCATGGATTCAAGTAACACATCTGACTCTCACACAGGAAGTGGGGAACAATTCAGTCAGGCATTAAAACTGTTATTCAGTCAATATGTAAAAGGTGGATTTTGTACCAAAAGTGTTTAAACTGTAAGGTAATACGCTTCAGTTTGGCATCCTGACCACTGAGGACACGAGTTGGATGTTAAGATTTGACAGTTTTGAAACAACTATCATCAAAAAAGCTGGTTAAGAAAACATGTAAAGGTGTCCTTAAGAATATAAAAAAAAGTGCAACTTAAAGAATTAACGTGTAAAAAAGTGAGTTTTAAACTTAGCAAATGCTTCATATTGATTGTCATTTGCAATGTCAACTTATTGTCCCGTTTCTGATATTTTAATCTTCATGCTGGTTATATATATTATATTGACGGCTCTCTCTAGGATGGCGGCTATCAACCATTGCTGCAGGCAAATCAAACTGTGGTATCCATATCATGCCCACAGACAAATGCTCTGATTGGATAACGGGTGGGACGCGTCAAACACCGTTAGATCAACAATTCAACCGCTGTTTCTACTGGGAATCATAGTAGTTTGGACTCAATTTGAACAATAGCGACAACACAACGCTCTGTGCTGCAAAGACAATAAACCTCATGAAGTTAAAACGATAATGCAAACTCATTTCTGTATTTGGTTCCTTTCTGTTGGACATGGTGGAGTTTCATTTTTGTTTCTAACATTGCGTCCTATGACAACTTTCCTTCAACGTAGCATCCCATTAAACTGGCCCCTCATTTGAAACACTAGAATACAAAACTGGTTTAGTGAGAAATCACCAAACTCAAAGTCTGACACGAGAACCTGGTGTCTATACATCGAGAAACAATAATCTAGTTTGTATATGTGACCTGCTGTCTGCATGAATCCTCCAGCATTACTCAGCCTTCACAAAACAATGTTAAAGCCAACTAGTTTCCCTAAGCTCCTCACTAACCGCACTCCAGGGAAATAGCTTGACATGAACACGACCTACGATTAAAAATTGGTCTTAAAATGATAGCTGACAAGAAAAAAATCAAGAGTTTTAACATAACTAAAGCCTGCTGTAGAATTGTTTCTATTTGCTTGGCATTTTTTTTACCTCCTTGACCAAAAAACAACAACACTTGCATATGTTTTTTTGTCCTGGTCCAGCTTTGTCATTAGTCAAAGCCAGTGGGCAATTTGAGAGAGTCTGCCTCGTGAGCGTTAGCTTGTTTTTCAATTTCCAATTAGTTGGTTTTGTGTTCACCGTAAATTAAATATCTCCAAAGAATAAATGTGCGGTTCAAATTGCCCACCGAGCTAAGCTCACCAGACCGCTGCGGTTCAAACGTTGAGTGATCAAACGTGATTTTTCTACACAACAAGCGAGTTTCACTTGTAATTCACATTCTTCTTCACTGGAGATTCTTCTCTTTTCTGTTTCAAGAAGAGTTGTACTATTTACATTTAATCTATTTTCACTTCGCTTAAGTTGCTCATGTAAACAAATTAAGACCCTGATGAACGTTTTCCCCACCAGGTAGCAACAGGGCTTTTTTTTTTTGGCTTATTCTGCTGCTTATTAACAAAAGGGAGGGGATCGGAAACCGCTGAGTCGTCTATATTTACAGCGGAGTTCCTTTTAGAAGTTCAATCAGGGACTAAAAACACAGCTGAGACGAACAGGGCTAACCGTGGGCCTTGAATGCATCACAACAATAATTAGTTCTGTCGTGAAGTAGCATAGCAGAAAGATGCATCTGCTGAATCAACAGTAAGAACACAAGTGGATGCAAATCGTAGGTAGAAGCTAACGGGCTAGTGTGGCATTATCTCCCCTGGAAAGCCCCGTCTGCCCCTGCTGTGAAACGGTTCGGTTATATCCTTTTACTTTTACCCTAAAGACCGAACAAAGAAACTGGAATGACTTATTTTAGAGAAGACTCTTCATGTAACTCTCCAGGATAGAGTGAGCGAGAACATTTTGAACTCTTTAAGCCTTTTTTTTTTAAAGTTGTGTATCCCCCTTGAAAGAAGCTTTTGGCAGACAAGGGTTTTAAATGTTTGTGGTGGAAAGCGGAGCACGATTCTCAAAAGCAACGAGGCACTAAGAGTCATTTTGTTTTTTCAGCAGCAGCAGCAGCAGCCATGTTTCATTTCCTTTAAATGCAGTACTGACAATGTCCATGCAAGGTGCTAAAAGAGTATGCCATGTTTATCTTACAATAGAAGGTTAGAAAGTGAAGTTTGACCTCACATTTTAAAACTTTTCAGTAGGTTATAAAGATCTACATGTGTGTGAATAGTAAGAAAATGACAGCTGCTTTAATGTGACCCAGCAATTAGTGACAAGATGCCTTTGAGAAACTCAAGCTCAAACCAGAGCTGTGACAAATCGCTCCGTTAGTACGACTCCCAAAAGCATAAAACCACTCTGCTTTCTGGCTGGTGAAGCAAAGAAGTCGTTTCTTTAAATGTCTTCTTGAGTCACTCTGGATGAGGGTATATCAAAATAATCCAGAAATATGGTTTAGTGGTTATATGTGTTTGGGAGCTCATTCTCGTGAATTTGAGCTCCAATAAATAGATAAGGAATTGCTTTGAGTTTCCTCATCGCAGTTTTAGATTTATTTTGTTGCCAAGGTTTGATTTAGTTCAAGCCTAGTTTGTTTCCTTCCAAATATAAATAAAGAAAAACATGTTTAAACCCATACATGACATTAAATACACATTTCTTTTAGTTACAGTTGGCCAATACTTGTAGCCACTTATGGCAATTAAAACAACGGAAATAAGAGACAATTGTTTAAAAGGCACAGTACAGAAACAAATAATCCCCTTCAAACAAAAAGAGACGCCGTTAGCAGTCCGGAGACTGTTAGCATCGTTGCTAATGGGCTTTTCAGAGTCCAGCCGCAGTACCTTCAGTCTGTTAGACATCTTTCTCAGATCTCTGGAACTCAAGACTTCAATATGTTTTAAAAAGGTGAAAATAAAAAACTTGTTTCTGTTTCTGTGGCTGCGTTTAAGTATCTATCATGTCAAGGAAGGAGACAGATCCCATTTTGGAATTTATATGCAGACATATTTTGCTCAGATTTGACATCTTGCCCATCTCTGCGCTATGTTTTAGAAAAGTGTTTGGCCGGTGATTTACAACATGGCCATGCGTTACATACAAAGATGACATGTGAAGGTACACAGGATGCCTGGCTGGCTTTGGGTGATGCAGACAAAAACACAATGAAGCCAAAAGTGAAACCCTGCAGCTGCTTTGTGGGACTGTAAATCTAAAATCTTCCAGGGGTTAAAGGAACGCCAACATATAATTCAATTGGTTATTTTTCTTTGAGAAATTGCCAACATTGTTCAAACAGTCCTCACGGAAAACAAAAGGGTGCTGCTAAGCTGAAGAATAACCAACTCAAATTGAAGTTCCCTTTATACTGTGGCCTATTGTAAGAGGGTTACCAAAGACGAGGGACCCTAAAGTGGAGATGGAAAGGAGGATAAAAGGAAAATAATTAAAAGATCTGAGTGTATACGGGTGGAAGGAGGGCTATATAAATGAGTATAAATAGTTTAATAACATGCACGTGGTTTTTCTTTAAGGTAAATGAGGGGGAGGAGACGGATGGGGTGCAGACAGTGGAGTGGAGAAAGGAAGGAAGGGGGGATGAGTTAAGGAGGAACCTAGTTGCCCCACCAGTCCACTTGAGGGTGCGAGTAGTTTCCTCCGTAGCCATCACTCGTGTAGAAGTTTCCAAAACCAGCTGAGAGGGAGGAGAGGAGAGAACTCGGAGTTAACAACGCGAGAGAGTTGTTGTTGTTCATTATAACCAGAGGTGGGAAGTAGTGGAGCACAAATACTTCGTTACGGTACTTAAGTATCTGGTATCAGTACTTTACTCCACTACGACTTCTTACATGTTGAACTCAAATACCTGTACTTTCTACTTCTTACATGTTGAACACAAATACCTGTACTTTCTACTTCTTACATTTTGAACACAAATACCTGTACTTTCTACTTCTTACATGTTGAACACAAATACCTGTACTTTCTACTTCTTACATTTTGAACACAAATACCTGTACTTTCTACTTCTTACATTTTGAACCCAAATACCTGTACTTTCTACTTCTTACATGTTGAACACAAATACCTGTACTTTCTACTTCTTACATGTTGAACTCAAATACCTGTACTTTCTACTTCTCTCATTTTCCAAACAGGCTGGTTCCTTTAGTTTGAATGTGTGTCTGGTGGCGTGATCATTATTATTTAGAGTCATTGCGTGCCTATTGATTTGAACACGATCCGTGTATCCATCATTTCCTGGTCTTCTCTAAAGAAGAGGGACCAATGAAAACGTTGTCATGTTGCCGTTGTTCAGCATGGAAACATTCATTAGCTAACAATGACATTATTGTTCTATTAATATAAAGGGAGGTCAGGTACTCTTTAAAACAGCTGGTAGCTATGGGTACTTTTTACTCGAGTACATTTCAAAGATCTTTACTTGTACTTGAGCAAAGAGTCAGAACTTCTATTTTTACCAGAGTATGTTTAAACACGAGTATCTGAACTTCTACTTGAGTAAAGGATGTGTGTACTTTTGCCCTCTCTGATTATAAACACCCTGGCTGTATCCTCACCTCCTCCGAACCCGCGGTTTCCTCCGTGTCCGGCCTGGTTGCGTCCTCCACGTCCTCCAAACCCTCCGGCGGTGCCTCCGGCTGCCGTCTGACGGTAATCACGAGCTCCAAAACCACCGGAGAACCTGGAGGCAAAATCAAACACACCGTTAACATCTCATTCAACCATCTTTGACCTTTAAACCACTTTTCTATTGGGACACATTCAACACATTCCCCAACAAAGAGGGGACAGCGTTCACCTCTTAGAGCGTCCTCTGGTGTTGGTCTTATGCTGATGTTCATACGCCAGGCTCTCCAGCCATGAGGGCACTTCCTGTTTCGCCTCCACCAGGATGTCCAGCAGGTCCTTGGTGATGTTCCCATTTTTATCATTGAAGAACGATGTGGCCAATCCTACAGGAGAATAACAAGGTGAGTTGCAGCAGCAGTGAATACAAGCTTTTGTGGGTTGTAGCTTAAAAAAAGCGTCAGTATTTATGAGGGAGTCTTACCGAGGTTTCCCACTCGTCCTGTACGTCCGATACGGTGAACGTACTCCTCGATGTCGCTGGGCAGATCAAAGTTAATCACATGTTTCACATTGGAGATGTCCAGACCACGAGCTGCCACCTGAGTGTGTACAAAGGAGAAACAAGAGGTCACACACACGTTCACATGCAGCGATGCTTGAGGTTTCACCATGATGGAATTTCTCACTGATGGCAAGGACGTCTTTAAGAAATGAAACTACTCATGTGTGCGTAGAAAACATTACAGGGTTGTACAGCAGTAGTTTGGATGAAAGGATGTCGTGTTATTTGATATTATTTGCTGCCCTTTGCGTAATATACTGTATGAACTATCTTAATTATCGTTTACATAAAAATAGGATGAGAAATTAGACTGTCTTGTTATCTGAACATGGACTATGTATGTATATTTGTACATAAGTATGTGTATGTATATATAAAAGTCTGTTTATCTGTGTGAGGGCTACCTTTGTATGAGCTATGCTTTCTGCATTCCCGCTTCTACTAATTGTGTTTGTTTTTCGGATGTATGAACTGTCTAATTATTGAAATAGTAGAGTAAATTAAAAAACAAATCTATTGCACGTTTGCATGTGAACTGCATGTGTTTGTACTGACCGCTGTGGCCACCAGGATGGGGCATTTTCCAGATCTGAACTGACTCAGCGCCTCCTCTCGGTCCCTCTGGGAACGGTCGCCATGGATACTGGTGCAGGCGTACCCCTCCCGATAGAGGAAGTCCTCCAGAGCGTCGGCACCTTTCTTGGTCTCCACGAACACCAGGGTCAACGAGTCCTTACCTGAGGAGAGAAAACACACCTGAGGTTAAACATTAGAAGTGAGAGGATGGTCGTGGTGGATGTGGAAGATGGAGAAAAGTAACAAAACAAAACTCAACACTGGTGTTTTGCTGGCGTGGCATCTTGTTTTGAACCTTAGATAAAACACATTAGTCGAGCCCGCGATCCTTAGGGATTCTTAAGTGTAATAAAATACAGACTAATGGATTTTGGTCACATGGATGAACCACAACCAATCAAAAATTGACCCAAAACATTGATGCCATCTGTAATATTTTTTACACAATTTAAATGTGACGCAATCTAACGTTTTTGACACAAAAGTCACAATATGTGTCACCAGGAGCTTTATATTGTTATTTTGCCAGAAAACCTACCAACACCTGGATATCTACAGCTGGCAAATTGTGAAATCAACCACCTTTCCTTATCCTACTCATTCATATCCTACAAAAAAAAACTGCTATAGCTATAAAATAAGTTGCAGCATAGTGACTACGGAGAGTTGTAAATCACTTAGTGTATAATTAAATCACACCTCTGTCACATTAACCTGGATGATCTTCAGGTAATGCTGCTTATAACATGCACTTTAATGACCTTAAATGAATCACAGTACACGTTGTTCTATGGACCGAACAGTGCAACAGGGAGCAGGGAGTGCAGTGTGGGGAAACAATAATTACAAGAAACAATAAAAGCACAGTGTCAGCAGCACTGTGACTGGAGCCACTGCTGGAGAGAGTTTGGTCACAGTGGGTGAAGATTATAGCACTACCTGATAATAAGGTGTATTGGCCTCAGTTTGTAAGGTGTGTCTCTCGCTGTTTAAACATAACCAGACTCTCTCCATCAAGGCTTTGGGTCTGACATGGAGACACCACAGCGACATACTGCACGTAAAAATGTCACAAATAACTCAGGCATGTTTGATTTAGCAAACCGGATTCATGAAATGGTACACAGAACCGAAAATAATATGAATAAACAAAAAAGGATTCTCCGTCCACAGAGAGGAACATCGAAAAGGGGCAAGCAAACTTATTTAAAATGTGAAATGACAGATACGATTGTGTCCCCATTGAGGATCTTACCAGGTTTCTCTATGTTGTCTCCAGTATTGTCCTGTACCTCGCTGGGGATGACTTTGGATAAAACCACACCAAACCACCAACATGTCAACTGCACTCAATCAGCAGTAGAAAACCAACCCTGTATGTTCCTCATGTACCCAAGGTCCGCCTCCAATCAATAAATCGGGTTTACCACCAAAAGAAAACGACCTATTTTACCCAAACCTCAAACTCTAAATGAGTTTCTACTTTAAAAAGGAGGGGACATAAAGCATTCGTTGTAATTTCAGGAGTGGGAGTTGTATTTGTTTTTATGAACATCCTCACTTTTGCCTTCCTGAAGCTAACACAATAATATATAATTGTCGACTCTTAATGCACAAATAGACTGGGATGACAGGACAATATGATAATGGTAAAAAGGATTGGGGAAATAAAACCGCACTGTGTGTATGTGTGTGTGTGTTAGCATAAGTAAATGTCTGGTAGTGTTAGGACACATCTGATGTTGTTGTTAGTATTGGACTGTCTCACCTGTAGCACTGAGCAGATCCAGGAGGAAAGACCTCTTGTCGCTCTCCTCCACCCACACTACTTTCTGGGTGATGTTCTCCGAGGTGGAGCCCACTCGGCCCACCGCCAGGAAGATGTACTCCTCCAGGAAGTCCCTGGCAAGGATCTGTTAGTGGAGCACAGAGTGACCGATCAATGTGCTGCCGTTTACTGGGACAGTTAGACCGATAACCCCGGCTTTGCTTTCCCATTTCAGTCGGATTTAAAGACTATAAGTGGTCCTTTAAAAACACTTTCTTTCAATGCTAAAACAAGTCAATCAAAAAGACATCTGGAAGGAGGAAGAACATGCAATTCTTAATTTTATGGAAATACTGCAATTGTTGGTCAACCCTGTCACAGACGTTATGACTCAGCTCATCATAACAACCTAATAAGGCTGTCCAACAACATCTGGGACCCAAAGCATGCTCTGACAGAGAATATGAACTGCTACCATCTAATGGGAGATTCAATAAAGTCAGACTGAAGCATCCTTTGTGCTCCGGTCGATCCTCTCAGTAAATACAGAGCTGAATCCCAGATCAAATGCACGCTGAAGGCTCTTTGAGCATGTTTTCATGTACTGTGTCTTGATATTACACATGGAGCTGCTGTGATGCTGATGATCTCACCAATAAAGTATTATCGTATCATATCGTATCGTTACTGTACCTGGATCTCTTTAGGGAAGGTGGCGCTGAACATCATGGTTTGTCGGATGCCTTTGTGCGGCATGGTGTCCTGCTCAACGATGCGTCTGATCTGGGGTTCGAATCCCATGTCCAACATACGATCTGCCTCGTCCAGGACCAGGTAGCTGAAGGGAAGAAGCACAGAGGAGGTGTCACATTTAGAATAAAGCTTAAAGGTCACCTATTATGCAAAATCCACTTCTTCATGTATTTTCTACATCAACATGTGTCCCCTCTTCTTCATGTCTCTTCTACATCAACATGTGTCCCCTCTTCTTCATGTCTCTTCTACATCAACATGTGTCCCCTCTTCTTCATGTCTCTTCTACATCAACATGTGTCCCCTCTTCTACATCAACATGTGTCCCCTCTTCTTCATGTCTCTTCTACATCAACATGTGTCCCCTCTTCTTCATGTCTCTTCTACATAAACATGTGTCCCCTCTTCTTCATGTCTCTTCTACATCAACATGTGTCCCCTCTTCTTCATGTCTCTTCTACATCAACATGTGTCCCCTCTTCTTCATGTCTCTTCTACATCAACATGTGTCCCCTCTTCTTCATGTCTCTTCTACATCAACATGTGTCCCCTCTTCTTCATGTCTCTTCTACATCAACATGTGTCCCCTCTTCTTCATGTCTCTTCTACATCAACATGTGTCCCCTCTTCTTCATGTCTCTTCTACATCAACATGTGTCCCCTCTTCTACATCAACATGTGTCCCCTCTTCTTCATGTCTCTTCTACATAAACATGTGTCCCCTCTTGTTCATGTCTCTTCTACATCAACATGTGTCCCCTCTTCTACATCAACATGTGTCCCCTCTTCTTCATGTCTCTTCTACATCAACATGTGTCCCCTCTTCTTCATGTCTCTTCTACATCAACATGTGTCCCCTCTTCTACATCAACATGTGTCCCCTCTTCTTCATGTCTCTTCTACATCAACATGTGTCCCCTCTTCTACATCAACATGTGTCCCCTCTTCTTCATGTCTCTTCTACATCACCATGTGTCCCCTCTTCTTCATGTCTCTTCTACATCAACATGTGTCCCCTCTTCTTCATGTCTCTTCTACATCAACATGTGTCCCCTCTTCTTCATGTCTCTTCTACATCAACATGTGTCCCCTCTTCTTCATGTCTCTTCTACATCAACATGTGTCCCCTCTTTTTCATGTCTCTTCTACATCAACACGTGTCCCCTCTTCCTCATGTCTCTTCTACATCAACACGTGTCCCCTCTTCTTCATGTCTCTTCTACATCAACATGTGTCCCCTCTTCTTCATGTCTCTTCTTCATCAACATGTGTCCCCTCTTCTTCATGTCTCTTCTACATCAACACGTGTCCCCTCTTCTTCATGTCTCTTCTACATCAACATGTGTCCCCTCTTTTTCATGTCTCTTCTACATCAACATGTGTCGCCTCTTCTTCATGTCTCTTCTACATCAACATGTGTCCCCTCTTCTTCATGTCTCTTCTACATCAACATGTGTCCCCTCTTCTTCATGTCTCTTCTACATAAACATGTGTCCCCTCTGACTCTGAAAGATTCTCTCTCTTTTTGTCCTGATCCATTTATATAAAAACAGTACAGTAGTACTCTCTCTCTCTATGACCATAGTTACATACAGTATTGCCACCTATACATGTTTTGTATACTGTATATCTGAGACCTATAATAAAGTAATGAAAAACAGTATAATAGGGGACCTTTCATCTGAACCCAGGCGGCCAGTTATATCATAAAACGTTCGTCTTACTTGCAGTAGTCCAGTCCGATCTTGCCTCTCTCCATCATATCCACCAGTCGACCAGGCGTAGCGACCAGCATGTGACAGCCTCGCTCCAGATCTCTGATCTGCTGACCAATGTCTGCGCCTCCGTACACAACACAGGGACGCACTCTCGAGCGGTAGGAGAACTATAGATTGAAGCGGAAATGTTAAAGAAGCACAAGGACAAATATATCTCAATTTTTTGTGATTTCATGCTCGTGTGTTTGTATTACCTTCCTGGCTTCGTCGTATATCTGCAGAGCCAGTTCTCTGGTCGGAGCCAAAATCAGTGACATGGGGAAGTGCTTACGACGGCCATACTTTCCATTGTCCTGTAATACAATGACACAACCATTCAGAAACAGTTGATTTGTTATTTTTAGCACAGTTTAGAACCATGTTTACCTGAATATGAGCTCAAAATAAATAGTAAAGACTGTTTATTTGAACTTACAAGGCGCATTACTTCACTCACTATTTGTTAGAAAATGGTCCGTAATAGAAATTTGACTGTCTTGAGTTGAAGCTACATACTGCATTGTCTGCTATTAAATACCATTTGCCAATTAGTTGTCAAGTGTATCCCCTATTTAAACTATATGTAGTGTTGTTATTTGTCAAGTTCATACACTAAAAGTACAAGGTATCCACTCTTAAAGATGTATAATTCCAATAAAACAATAGAAACTTTCTCGAGCAAATCGATTTATGCGTTTTACTAAATAAAGCACGGTTATTTCTTCCCCACCTGTCCAGATGCTTTAGCTGCGTTCAGAGCTTCTCCTGGTCCTTCGCTGAAGATCTGGCTGAGAATCGGCAGCAGGAAAGCTGCAGTTTTTCCAGAACCTGCAGACACAAAGTCAAAGTCAAACATCTCAAGAGTATCATCTCATGATTCTGACTCCTATGCGAGTGCCGTTTTGGTTTCAAGACCCTGGTTTGCGGAGGATACCAAAAAAGTCCTAGAAAAGACTACTATTGCTGCTAAAAAGTTAGCAATGATTGAGTCAGACCTAAACATTTCAGATGTGTGTATCTCACACGGCTGTAACTTTAATTCATGTATCTTTGCTTTTAAATGAGTGTTTTTAAATGTCATTTTATAATATGTTTCTTAATGTCTTTCATTTTTGTAAAGCACTTTGAATTGCCTTGTGTTGAAATGTGCTGTATAAATACACTTGCATTAGTGTGTGTGTGTGTGTGAGTGAGTGAGAGTGTGTGAGTGAGTGAGAGTGTGTGAGTGAGAGTGTGTGAGAGAGTGAGTGAGTGTGTGTGAGAGTGAGTGAGTGAGTGTACGAGTGTGTGAGAGAGTGAGTGTGCGAGTGTGTGAGAGAGTGAGTGTGCGAGTGTGTGTGAGAGTGTGTGTGTGTGAGAGTGAGAGTGAGAGAGAGAGTGAGAGTGAGAGTGAGAGAGTGTGTGTGTGTGTGTGTGTGTGTGTGTGTGTGTGTGTGAGTGTGTGTGTGAGTGAGTGTGTGAGTGAGTGAGTGAGTGTGTCCTACCTGTCTGAGCGCAGGCCATGCAGTCCCGCTTCGACTTGACAATAGGAATGGCATATTTCTGGACAGGTGTGGGTCTGGTGTAGCGACAGAGAGCGATGTTCGCCATGACGATCTCCCCCATGTCCACATCCTGGAACTACACAGCAAACACACATTCATAAAACAGAGAGCAGTGGAAAGTGTTCATGCTGATTATATTAGATGCAATGTTGTTATATCCATGGTTAGCAGCGTACACTCTCGATGTGGTGAGGGCAGTTCTGTCCCGTGGCCTCAACAGGAATGTCATCGTATTTTTCAAAGTTGATCCCAGTGTTACCGCCGGAGAACAACTCACTGCAAGGGAACAGAACCGGAGCAAAGACATGCAATTAAACAAACATCTACAACAATGGCCCATGTGTTTGAAACAACACATCTTGGTGCTTTTAAACTGGTGTTTATATAAAAAAAATCATCCAAACAACATTTAAAAAACTCATGGTGACGTCTCGAAATGTCAAAACACGCATCACAGAAAAAGGCCGGAAAGCTAAAACCAAGGAATTAAATGAATGACAAATGGTGTCAGCTCTTTGAGTTTTGGTTATTCTCCTTTGACTTTCAGAATAATAATAGACATGGCTTGAGTTTACACTCCCATACTGGTATAACATGTGTACGACTAGCTTGTTAAATCCAATGTTCCCCCCTGATATGTCCTTTAGTGAGAGTAGAGCTGCAGACTCACCTTTCCAGGCGTTCATTTCGTGCCGTTGGTTTGGCCCAGTCTCCATCCTCTCTGGGCTCCTCCACCCAGCGGCTGTTTCCTCCTCCACCTCCTCCTCCTCCTCCACCACCACCTCCTCCACCACCTCCTCCTCCTCCTCCTCCACCACCACTGAATCCACCGTGATCAAACCTGAACACAACAGAAGATACAACAAGAGTTACGCTACCATGTTCACCAAAGAGTTAGACGTTATTGTCCCTGCGTCTCATCTCTACTCGCCTTCCTCTGTTGGCGTTTCCTGTGTGATTGAAGAAGGCAGACTTCCCTCGGTTGTTGCCAAAATTGCCGTAAGTTTCCTTGGGCGTGTTCCAGCCACCTGCATCTGGCAGAAAGACTAAATATAAAAAATATATACGTCTATATGTGTTTGCCCAATAACAAATATAGTAGATCAAGATTCAAAGGTTTCATTGTCATATGCACATAAGCTATAGTGTAGAAAGAGCAATGATATTCTTCTGGCTTCAGCTCCTCCAACAATGCAACATATAATTAAATAAAAAATATAAAAAATATAAAAAAGTAGTGCAGTGTAGCATAGATCTAACAATATATAAAATATATATAAATACGAATAACTTGCAGTAAAAAGCGAAGCCCACCTTTGTTTTCGTAGCCGGCGAACGCCATTGGTTGCACCGCGGGGATGATGGGGTTGAAGGCTCCGCCCCTGTTGCCACGGTAACCCCCTCCGATGCCACCGCGGCCCCGCTCCATGCGAGGCGGACCTCGGTGTTGAAACGTGTTGGCGCCCGCCATGCGGTTGTCATGGTAGCCGTTCACAAAGTTGTTGCGACCCGCATCCCAGCCATCTGCAAAATGTTTTCCCACAATCCCGAATATAAAAATATGTATATCCTATATATACACAATCAACAGACACATTTATACATATGCACACAATCAATATATACAAAATAATAGTCTATTCAATATCTTAATATATATCTCATAATATAATGCGATTAGAAGGGATCCTAGTATCAGAGGACACTATATGTACTGTACACAATTTGTTTATGTATATAGTACACTATGTTTGTATGTATAGTACATTGGTATATAAGTGAGTATACTAGTATATTCTGTATATTTTAAGACGCATATTACTTTATAGCCCTTCCTTTACTTCACTGAGAGGAGGTAACAAACCAGAAAACAGTGAGGAGTGATACAGATGGGAATATTGGTAGAGACAATGCAGATTTCCGCAGATTTAGACTCACATGTTGCAGGCGGCGCTATGGTGTATCCCCCCGGTCGCTGGGCAGCGAAGGCATTTCCTGCTGGACGGAAGAAAGTGTTTCAGTTGTGTTTACCATTAGTGTTTACTTTTTAAAATGCACTTGATAAAAAGATACCCTGTGGAGTTTCTGACCCCTGGTAGCATTATGGAGCAACGTTTTTCCAAGCGGCCCCTCGTTTTGTTTGTATTGTGCATGCATACTTTGACACAAGCATGCAGGCGTAGCGAAAAAACACTTTCTCTATCAGCGGCTCCTTGATGTGTTAGTGGGGAAAAACGTGGCGATGCAAGAGCAAAGGCACAGAAGAAGGCGACTGCCTAGCTACCTAACATTGATGCCAACAATGTTAAAAAAAAGAATCAACTTTGCAAACCTTTCACGAGGAAGGATATAAGCTCAATGACTCACACAATGTATAGATTTTGGTGAGTAAATGTAAACCAAACTTAACATTTGTTTACAAGAAAACTCCACAGGTGCTACACACCATTTTTGGAAGCTTCATTGTTCCTAAAGGATTGTTAAAAACCTTTTGAAGCACACCCAACGTGCATTGATCTGTGGTGCACCTCTGAATCTAGAAACCAAGGAAATACAATATATGTTGTACTTCTGTAAATGGAAAAATTCCCCTTGGTTGCTTTCCTGATGTTTTCTCTGTGGAGCTCTTCCTTGTTTCAGCTTAGTTGCCATAGTGTATTGGTTTTGGGTGCCTATGCACATTTATTTGAAGGGAAAAGGAGTTCAAACAACTGCTTACGGTTAGGGCCTCCACCTTGTCCGTCTGCCCCACTCAAGTCTAGGACAGCAAGCTGGGGAAACACACAAAAACAACACAAACATACAGTCATTTTCAGCAGAACAAATCTAGCATTTTGTTTCTTCTTGCACCAGGTGACACCTACATCTGCTTGGAAATAAAAGCCAACAGTGTATTTTTGGATTATTCATCAGAACTAGCAATGCAAAAAGAGCATGGGAAACAGTTTTTGAGATGTCCAGATTCAAAAACATTTTTCTGATGCCCTAATTTGATTAAATATATAAAAGTATTTGAAACTCGACATGCAGAAATTCCATTAGGGCGATGTCAACAAACCGCATTCAGCTCAGAACAAAAGTGTCACATCCAATGATTACCAGGTATTTATTGTACCTTTCATACTGATCCACTTTATTATCTCACACTGGTGGACATGTGTTTCTATATGTCATGTATTTGTTATTATGCTAGTTTTGTGTCTACCTGTGCAGGGACACAATATGCTAATTAGTTTCTACCTTACTCTGGTGCAGAAATAAACAATAAAAGTCATAAATATAGTGAATTTCCGTCCTGGGTATGCATGCTCCTCTACTGCAATAATTAGAGCTTTAAGCTAATAACAAGGTTTGATTTCTCCATAAAAAACATTATCAAAGCCGGGTTTTTTGCATCCTAAGAGAAAAAAAATGACTTTGCAACGCTTACATAGACATGTTGTCAATTAGACCTTTGCATAATATCAAGTGAGAACATATAGTACTTTACTGTTGCCATCCAACTGTCTGTCCAGTCAGACACAACTAGACTACGTTGATGGTGACGCAGAAGGAAAGAGCTTTTTTTTTTTTTTTTAAAGCGGGACGCAGTGAAGACTAACTATGCAATAATGCTTATGCACTGAAAGCTAGAGGGCTGTACTGTAAAACCCCGCATTGTTTGTGTGTCAGAGCCACCATCCCTGCAACCTCCATTTTATTACTGTATCTAGCTGCAAGAGAAACGCAGTGAACAGAATAGTTGAAGGGGGTGTTTCATATGCTCACCGGGGAAAGCCGAATTAACCATTCGGGCGTAAATAGTCAATCGGCTCTTAAGCCATGTCATTTAAAGCTACTAAAATAAGCTTTCTTGCATCATGTCGAATGGCTTTTTACTGTAGCACACATACATATAATGTAACAGACAATTCGGGTTGAAATAAATCTAAGTACTGCTCCATCACCGCCCCGCCGTCACTCCTGGTCATGCGGGTGTCGAAATGAAGCGCACCCAACGCTAGGTAGCATGATAGCATCTCTTAGCTTTTCTTTTAGGCTAGCCGGTAAGCTAGCACATATCCACACGATTATAAACAACTTTTCCGCCACAAACACTGCAAGACACAATAAAAACAGATTCATTTTACCTGCTGCTCTAGACCGTGGACATTTTCGACGGCCACATGACTCATAACTATTGAATACGGAGGAAAAATGTTGTCGTTGAAAGAGATCCTCTTTGTTAGCCGGGTTTTTGATGCAATGTTATTTCTCCTCTAACGCGTTTCTGGGCAGATTGCGTCAGTTGTTTCAGTGGTTTTACAAGCTGTACCGTTGTAAAATGCTAATCTTGAATTTTACGTGATGATAAATTCCTATTTGTTTAGCTACAAGGATGGCACTTCATGCAAACTCAGCTGATGTCGGTTTGCTCTTTAGCCGAAGATGAGGCCGTCATGCACTAGTTAAGTTGGCCTGAAAAAAGACGACAATCCACATCCGGTTGTGTAAAAATTAAAGTCGGTAAACTGAAGTCACTATGTTACATAATGTGTGCAACACAACTTCATCTGCATGATATATTATGTCGCTATATTAAATGAAAATATATGCTTCGTGTTTGCACCATTTACACCAAAGCAAATTCCTCGTATGTGTAAACTTACTTGGTTTTAAAAACGATTCTGATTCTGATTAAATAGGACCTATAATTGCTAGTTGTGTTGTTTATAAAAGTAACCATTTGCTGCACATTTCACATATCGATTGATTAATTGATTGAATGTAACAGGTCTCTTATGTAACATTTAAAAAAAGAATCTGTCGTCTTATCTTACTTCCGGTGGCTCAAACCCCTTAACTTGATTGACGCATGAGATGTTGTTAATCCAAAACACGCGAGACTTTAACCACAGTTTGTCGCGATACCTTCACTACAGTAAAGTGCAGATTACCAGCATGGATGACTATCAGATGTCATCCAGTTAAATTTATTAGTTTATAAGACTTCCCATGCTGAACACACAGTTTTATAAAGCTGAAAGGTCATTATCAATCTTGGCTGGAAAGCAGGTTTATGTTCAGCCTTATTTTAGCAAATGTATTAATGTGTCATGTGGGGAATCTTTCAAATGTATTCCTAAATCCTGATCCTTATATAGATCCTTTTATATTTACAGCTTAGCAAAGTGCAGTTTATGAAAGGAAACTCCCTGTTCATGTCTGGACGGCCCGTGGTTGTGGGTTTGGAGAAAGGCTTCCCACTTGTGGTGGAAATTAATAATAACAGTTTCCACAGTTTTGCTTTGGCCTAATGTTTGTGTTTTATATTTCATTAATTTAGTAGACAAATTTGGAGGACCAGTTCAAAGAAGATGGGACTCAAATTTCTACTTAAGCTTTGAAAGAGGCACTAATGGTTCCTTTTTGCCTAAAGATCAGAAATTAGTTGCACATTGGACCACAATTGGCTTTTTTAAACCGTGTGAAAATCTATTTAGGATTTGGACGTGTCTTCACATGAAAACTAGGTACAGAATTAAATGTATTATGAGCAAGTATGCACACATATAGCTTGCCTCTCTTAATGTGATAATCATCAGTTGCAATGAATGGCGTCTCTGCTCTTTCAATTCTGACAATTTTTCTCAAATCTGTCAAGCACTCAAGTGAAAACGGTTGGTGCTGGTTTTTCTGACACACTTCTAAACCTCCCAGTCTCAAAGATGTTTCTTGATGTCAACAACATACTGACCATGTTGATTGGTGGTTGTCTACCAAAACTAAACACTATGATTTCCCAGCATGTTGTAGGTTATAAACTGTGACCCACAAACAAACACAAACAAATCCTTGTGGTTTATAGTCAGTACCAATTGGGGCGCTAATTTTATAATCGCCCACTCCCTTGACACACATACAAGAAGTGTATTCAGTGGCGAGCAGGTTAGCGTCTCATGTAGTTTAAATGTCTCTTTTAAATATGTTCTAAGTGTAGGAGCTTCACATGAACAACCAGATTAATATTATTTATTTTAGATAATCAAGGTTGGAACACATTTGGTTCTTTAAGATACCCACGTTTACAAACAACAAATGCATGAAGAAAGGAGGTGACATTTCCTGAGAACATGAACTTGGCAGCAGCATGTATTGTATAATTATGAACTTGAATACACCAAAGACAAAAAAGAAAGTGTGGCATGTGTCTACCGGGTAACTTTCCACTTTCAGTCTGTAACTTTCCACTGCGGCGAGGCTGTTTAATGTCATCCTCACTCACTGAGTAGTGCTATGTTTACGTGTTATGCTGACTTTACTAGAGAATGTGACACAGCTTGCTTCACTTGCTATGACCTGCTGGGTCATTGTCACGCCTCAGGGACGCATGTTTTTATATCATATCGATGTCCAGTACATAATGGGTACATTTCCAAAATATTTCTAACAAAGTGAGTGTAGCCTGTTATGGAGGACGATTCATTTAGACTACTAAGCACACTTTGATTGAGATAAATGGGAAATAATGCAATCATTTGACCAATCAGGATCAAGCAGTCTTTTTCTTAATTAAGAATACATTCGAAGAACACCTGACTAACTTTCCGATTGAATCTGAACGCTCGGGTTTTCCCCTCCTGAAGCCTCGCCCTGCTGTTATCAAACTCTCCGGGGCATGACGCCTCTCAATTGAACACAAACAGACGAGGCAGCCAACATTTGCATTTTGGAAAAGTTTAATAAGAGAAAGCCAGCATTACAAAGTGGGGGCATAATGGTCTCAATGATAAAGCTTACATGCTGATGTTTACAGATCCAACCATCTTGGTTCATGCTAACATTTGCTAATTAGCACTAAGAGTACATTTGATGCTGGTAGGAAGGTCACTAGCTCTGCCAATGAAACATTTATACAATAGCCACGTTTAGAAATACCCCTCAAGTTATTTGTACTTAAACTTGCATAGAAATTGTCCAAAATGTCATTTTGCATAAAAAAATACTGGATTAAAACAGGAGAAGAGGAAAGTGTTCTCCTTCACGTCGGAAATCAGGCTCGCCATCAGCAATTATTACAAAAATATATGACAATTTACAATTAAGTCCTTATTCTTCCCAACACATCCTTGTGCAGCTCTCATGGTCTTACTTTGTAACATTTAGTCTGAGCAGCACAATGGTGTTATAGTAACACTGCGTTGAGATGTGTAAGACTGAGAGGAAGAATCAAAAACATAAAAGGATCATTTCGCAGACATCCCACAAAGCAAAAGGAAGTAAAAAGGTGACGTTTTGTAGTAAAAAAATATAAAAATACTTTAAGTTGCACTCGGCAAAACTGCAAAATGTACCTTTGTGCATGCTCCACTAATTCATACAATTACATCTTCTTTTTTTACCTCTATACTGCGACAGACGTCCCGATAGTCCCCTATAAAAAGAGGATTATTTAATTTAGTGGTACCTATGATACAGTGTTCGAAAGAGTATCTTCTAGCCTTAAATACAACCTTCACAACGAGCAGAATATAAAAATGTGAATTCATTTGTATTTCCATCCACTTCTGTGGCGAGTATATTAAAGTTGACAGTTAAAGGTAGGGTAGGTAATTTTGAGAAACCAGCTCAAGTGCGCTAGAATTTGAAAATACACAGCCGGAACAAATCTGCCACTTCCTTACAGAGCCCCTCCTCCAACACACACGAACGCGCACATGACCAATGAGGGCACGAGATAAGTTTGTGCACAGATGGAAGGCTGACAGGCAGGTAGGCCATCCAGTTATTTTAGCCGGGCCGGCTCAGATGATTGGTCGTGCTTTTTACAGTACTACGGCTTCCACAGATGATATTTTTTTATGGATATTTTGTCAAAGCACTTCAGATATTCATTGCTATCGGGATGTTAAGAGCATTCCATGGAATATAACAAAAAGTGTATCTCGAGCCGGTTTCTCAAACTTACCTACCCTACCTTTAATTAAACATGTGTTTCAATGAGAAACTGCTACCCCACCTTTAATAAAATAGACAAATATAGTGTATAAAATCCATTTGATAATACAACAAAGTTCTTATTGGTTTAAAAAAAAAGAATTGGTTCCTGAACCTGATCAAAACCCAAATATTTTTGCGGTCGAAGCTCCAATCTTTGCCGGAAACTGAAAAAGGACAAAGAGAGGCGTTTACTGAACCTGTTCACAATGCTCTTTTTTCATTACAGTTGAAGAGAAACTGCAGCATAGTTTCCCTCCTTTAGTTCATTATTGCTTGTAGTTTATGGACCAACATGTCCCAGCCTATAAGGAGAAGTAGAAGAAAATAAAGATGCCCACAAAGCAAATGGCCAGCAGTGCCGTGTTCAGGAGGATTTTGGTTCTTCGAGGTTCGTGCAGAAGCTGGTCCAGGATCTGCTCCTGTTCCTCAGCGCTGAGGACCCGAGCTTGGGACGGCTTCTCCTGGAAACCACAGAAAAACTCTAAAGCTTTCAAACATTTCCCTCCCTCCACGACTCCTCCAAGACAGCCATCCTCCTCCCCCACTCCCTTCCTTTCTCCCTCTTCTTCCATTGATGGATCAGATGCTAAATCCCCGACTATGACAGCGTGACCGTTGCTTGGCTGAGTTTCCTCCTGATTTGCCTCGATCCCGTTGTCTTGCTGATCCGGACTCTTTTCTCTCCCAGTCAAACCGTTTGCATGGTTCAGAGTCTTCAAAGCAGTCATATCTTCCCCCGCTTTCTCCCTCAGTCTCTTCCTCCTCCTTAACCCCCACAGGGTGGTGGTTCTGATCTGTTCTTGATCCGGCGGAGGAGTGCACAGACTCACAACGACAGTCACAAGAGCCGACACCCAAAACAAGATGGCTGCCACGTACATGAAGTGAATATCTTTGATGAAGGAGGGCCGGTCGTCGGGCTGGTCGCAGCGAGGCTCCCGGTAAACCAATGCCAAAATCAGACGCACCGATCCAAGGACGAACCCCACCAAGCTGCCCCAGAAGGCGCCCGTCTCGTTGCAGCGACGCCACAGCACGGCCAGCAGGAACAGAGCAGCGATAGGAGGCGTCAGGTAGTCTGTCACCTCCTGGATGTAGTAGAACATCTGGCCTCCCTGCATCTCGATGACCACGGGCACCCAGGCGATGCTGATGACCACCATGAAAACCACGAACAACCTGCCGACGATCACCAGCTCCCGGGACGACACCTGCTTCCTCATCATCTTGTAGATATCCAGGGCGAATATGGTGCTGGCCGAGTTGAAGATGGAGTCCAAGTCGCTCATCAGAGCTGCGATCATGACGGCCATCATGAGGCCTCGCAGTCCCACGGGCATCACCAGCATGACGAGGCGGGGGTAGGCCACGTTGCTGCAGCCGCTCGCAGAGCCGCACACCTCCAGGCAGTGCTCCGGGCTGATGCACGCCAACTGATCCGCAAAGAAGATCCTGGAGATCATCCCTGAAATCAGATCACAAATGACTCGAAAAGTTAGTGATCCGCTAGTCAAGGAGTGAAGTGTGTCAGAGAGCAATTGTAGGTAAAGACTGTGGGGGAAACCTTCCTCTCGTATGAGGTTTTAACTAGTTTCGCTAAGGGTAATCAACATTCTTCAATAGATAGACTAAACAGCTGAGGACACTGAATCACATTTGTTGTCGCTTCTGGCTCGAGGTCATCTACACCCCGAGAAGGATGTGTTCCAGGTGTCCCACAACAATAACTATCTCTGACCGAGAGTTGCCCGGTCACAAATTGGTAACAACAACAACTTGCTAGGGCAGCCCCTCCTTATGGGAGATAGCGGCTGCTCAAGGTTGGAGCATCTGCGTGTATGGACAATGATTCCCTGACAAAGACATTCCCTGTTTGGGCAGCAGGGTAACTTGTGTGCTTTTATTCACAATGTATTAGGTTTTTAGCACTTCTTAATTTGTATGATGTTTTAATTCTTTGTCAAGCACCTTGTGACTATGTCTGTGAAAAGCACTTTATAAATACATTTGACTTACTTACTTACTTAAAGTCGACAGACCACTAATTGTCTTTTTGTATATTTTTTGACTCATCAACCTTACTATTATTTTTCATAAAGTTGAAATTGTGTGACAACTTTGTGTGAATATGCAGCATCATCTACCTGGGATGACGATGATGAACATGGGGAGGATTTTCAGAAAGCCGGCCATGATCGTGGCTCCTTTAGCGTGGGCAATATTCTTCGTTGCCAAAACCCGCTGAACGATCACCTGATCTGCACACCAGTACCTAGAACACATGTAGGACGCTTATAGATTTAACAATTAGACCATAAAGTAGCAAGTAGCATTATAGCAAGGACACTGATACTGGCTCAAAATGAAAGGCCAAGATCCATCTTCTGGTGACACACAAACTAAACATGAAACTGAACCAGTTAGGGATGTCAGTTTTGGTGAAAGGACTTGGACACGTACCAAATGGAGGCAGGAGTCTGGCCCAGGAGGAAACCGGGCCACGGCAGGTCTGGATCCCTCGGGCCCCGAAGCATCTTCAGAGCATTTGGTTTGGGGTGAAGGTGGAGGTGGCAGGAGGCAGAATACGTTAGGTTGGGCGAAGACAGCAAGATGGCCGTGATGTTTGGGGAAGCTTGCATGTACTTGGTCCTCAAACCTTAAAGAAAAGCATATAGTGTGAGATGGCAGTTCAGTTGATCGCATGGCAGTTGTGTCAAGTAGATTTTAAAATGATTTTGGTACTTTAAGTATATTTTGATGCTATTGCTATTGTACCTAAGTAACATTTTGGATGCAGGACTTTTACTTGTAAAACAGTATTCCTTTCTATTCCCTTAAGAACAAGATTTTCTCCATTTTCTCCAACTTCTCCCACCTCTGTCACATGGAATTAAATTCAATGCATAGTCACCTTCGAGTCCTCCCACTTTGAAGAGGCTGATGCCCGTGAGGCAGAGCGCTCCGGTGATCATGAGGAAGGCCTGGACGGTGTCCGTGTAGATGACAGCCACCAGACCTCCAGTGACCGTCAACAGAGCTGTCATGGCGATGAGGAGGATGATTGACAGGTAGAGGTTCCACCCTAAGGACTCCTGGATGAACAAGGCCCCGGCGTACAGATCCACGGACACCTTGGTGAAGATGTACAGCACGAGGGACAGCGCTGCAAAATACACCTTGAGCCGTTTCCCGCCAAATCGCTTTGTCAGGTACTCCGGCATGGTGTAGACTCCAGACTGAATGTACACGGGGATAAATACCCAGCCTAATAACTGCAGCAGCAACAGGGCGTTTATTTCCCACGCTGCCACGCCAAAACCGCTAGCAGCCCCCGACCCGGCTAGTCCGATAAAATGCTCGCTCCCGATGTTGCTGACGAATAGCGACGCTCCTACGGCCACCCAGTTCATAGAGCGACCGGCCAGGAAGTATCCGCTCACCGTGTTCTTATTGGCTCTCCGCATGGCGATGAAACCGATCGCCAGCACCAGGATGAAGTAGATCACTACGACGGAGATGTCTGCCACTTCCATGGTGGCGGGGGCCATGTTTCAGCAGCTTTGTAGGTCTTTAACGAAGGGAAGGCTTTGTCAACGTACAATATCTTGCACTGCTTTTTCTATGACCCCAAGTATAAAATGCATGTGCAGATAAACCTGTAATAGCATCTAATTTGTTCACCTTAAAGTAATCCTCATATACATATATCTGCACATGGTCATGTATACAGCACAAGGCAGTTGAAAAGCTGCAGTGGGAGAAATCAAAGGTTTGTTGTTCCTTTGTTAACTTTGGGAGTCGATGCAGGTTGCAGCTTGACAGCTTGCGAAATGGCGGTGCATTGTCGCTCGGTTTTGATTTAAGGGTACCTGGATCCTGCAACAAACAAAGATATCATTATTTTCCAAAGCAATGCACAACATGTTGTAACCAATTTGAGATATTACATTCATTTCCTATAATGCAACTTAGAAGTGTCTTTCTTTAGACCAGGGGTCTCAAACTCAAGGCCCGGGGGCCAAATCCGGCCCGCGACTTCATTTTATGTGGCCCCGCAAGAGCTTGCAAATAATATAATACGTTTATTATACGGTCACATGCTACTTTACAGAAGCAGGTTGCCCATAAACTACATGTCCCACAATGCATCTCGTTTTGTGACATGCACACTGAAGAGACTTGCAATTATTTGCCCTGGACTTCTGCTTTCAGACGTAGTTAATTACTAAGTTATTATCCTATCCGATAATAATCCAATCCAGAGGCAATAATGTGAAATAATACATTATTTTATATATATATTATATAGTTACAACCGGCCCTTTGAGTGCAACCTTTATGCGAATGTGGCCCGCGATGAAATTGAGTTTGACACCCCTGCTTTAGACCCTACCTGCAGGTTCAACGTCCCCACATCTCTTTGATTTGGCCTTTTTTCTGTTTCTAAGATCAAGAAATAACTGTTAACAAACCAAACTATGACATTTTCTTTGTCATTAAAACATTTGTACAGATTCAGTAGTACTTCCTATGATGAGGGAACATCTACTAGTTTCTTTGATCTTCTGTTTGAACTATTACATAATTTTCTATTTGGCCTGATACTATTTAAATGTCAACAAATATGCATGAAGACCAGTAGGTTTTGGTCTTGATTAATGCATCCCCCGGTTATATCCAGCACTCTGCAAGCTGTGTAAACACATACAAATATGTTTCTTTTCTTTTCATTTCGACTTTCCGATGCACCTGCACAGCACAGCCTTTTAGAAAGCCTTTGTTTCCTCATGTTGTAGCTTTTTCAGAGGGTGAAGGAGCTTGGGAATGACAAACAGCTGGCGTCGCCGAGTCAAGTGGAGTGACACAGCTTTAATTGTCACCGGGACCATGCTGTTAAAGGGGGATGGATTATATAAGAGTCCAAAAAGTGCTTTCATTCAGACTCACTCCTGCTTAGACCACTGATTAGTCTCATGTCTTTAAAGGCAACTTAATGAACTTACAAACTTTGACGTCTCTAAAAGCACAGTCAATTATAGTTTTTATCAGGTTGCATGATAATTAAGTGCTCAATCTCAGCCTCTGCTACTTCAATTAACCCCCTTCAAAAATGGTATTGAAGCATGATAAGCAGTGAGCATGTTTGCATTTTTTTTCAACTATTAACAAGCTCCTCAACCCCATGGATAATATCTCCAACTCCTTCACCACCTCAAAGTGTGAATCCTTCCTCTCATTCCTCCAAAGCAAAATAATACACAGCAACATAGCCAACTCCTGCGTCTCGTCCACCACCCATCCTTTTCCGGAACCTGCCTACCCTCCTCCTTCCAGGCACCCTTTTACAGCCTTCAGATAAATTACCTCACTGGACATAGTTGCCCAAGTCACCGGCATGAATACCTCAACTTCCATCCTGGACCCCATGCCCTCCACCCTTGTCAAGGCCTGCCTCCCCCAACTCACTCATCTTATCACCACAGTCCTCTCTGTCCACTGGACTCGTCCCCCCTGCTCTGAAACTCGCTGCTGTCACTCCCATACTCAAAAAACCTGGTCTCAACCCTGATTCCCTCAATAACTACCGGCCCATCTCCAACCTCCCATTTAGGGTGACCAGATGTCCCGCTTTGCGCGGGACTGCACAGCATTTTCACGACTTTTGGTGCGTCCCGCAAATCAACCATTCCATCCTCATCAACCGCCTCCAGTCTTCCATTCATGGCATTACCGGTACTGCCCTCTCCTGGTTTAAATCCTATTTCTCTGACAGACATCAATTCATCTCCATTAACAACTCCAAATCCCCCACAGCCCCATCAATCATGGCGTCCCTCAGGGTTCTGTACTTGGTCCCCTTCTGTTCATCATCATTCTACATCCTCCCAATTGGACAAATCCTCCGTCAACACCAACTCCAGTTCCACTGTTATGCTGATGACACACAGCTAAAATCAATTTCTCCAACCACACACTCCCAGCTCAGCACCTGCCTCACTGACATTAAAATTTGGATGCAAAACAATTTTCTAAAACTTAACTGTGACAAATCGGAACTTATAATCATTGGCCCAAACTCACGTACCCGCTCAACCCAAGATTTGTCTCTTACCATCGATGGCTCCATTGTCAACCCCTCCACTCACATCCGTAACCTTGGCATCATCCTCGACCACCCCACCCTCACTTTCCTCCCTCACGTCAACCAGGTCACAAAAAATGCTTTCTTCCATTTAAAGAACATTGCCCGCATCAGACCCTCCCTCTCATCAACCACTGCTGAAAGCTGCTGATCCATGCCTTTTATAACATCCCGACTGGATTACTGCAACAGCATACTTTTTGGATCACCAGCATTCATACTAAAAAAAACTTCAATATGTCCAAAACTCAGCTGCCCGCTTGCTCACCTCCACCCGACGCTCCGACCACATCACTCCTATCCTCCATGACCTCCACTGGCTCCCCATCAAACACCGCATTGACTTTAAAATATTATTTTTCACTTTCAAAGCCCTCAACAACCTCTGTGACCTCATCCAACGACACACCCCCACCTGTCGCCTCAGGTCTGCTGCACCTAACCTACTGCAGCCCATCAGGACAAAGCTCCGGACCTGGGGTGACAGGGCCTTCTCTGCAGCCCCCCCCCCCTCACTCTGGAACCCCCTCCCCAGTCACGTCAGATCCGCCAACACTCTCACATCATTCAAACAATCCCTCAAAACTCACCTTTTCACTCTTGCCTTCAACTCCTAATCAACTAACCCCCTTTCCCTTATTCCACCTAGCTTAGCACTTTCTACTTTTGTTTTACTTGCTTGTAAGCGCTTTGAGCACCAGGAAAAGCGCTTTATAAATGTAATGTATTATTATTATTATTATTATTATGAAGCTACTGTTGTCAATAAGGTTATAGGACAGCATCTATTTTCATAATCGCCTCTTGTAAGAAATGGGTGGCATCAACATGTGATATAATGCAGTTGTTATGCTAATTTGTATCTTCTCAGTTAAATCAATTAATAGTTTGGTCTCAAATTGTAAGAAAATCTGCTTCTCATAACCCCAAATAACATCTTTAAATGAAACTACAGTTGGCTTATTATTAAAGGAAACTAACATTACTATATTTGCTGATTCGTTGTCTGGCACCATGTCTCATTAGACCAAGCTTGTAAAATGGTATTTGGACGATTGAAGGCTGCATTCATCTCACCTCAGCTGCTCTCTTACTAACAACTAGCATTATTTGTGCTGTTAGCAACACTACCAGTGGATTCAACACTGTAGTATGAGGGTTCCTGCATCAGGCGGCTGTTTGTTGCTGGTCGCTGGAGGACAGAATACGAATACGTGCACACCTTTGGAAAATCTGATTATCTCCACACAACTTCAGTCGCTTTAATTTACGTTAATGGGAACAAAAGTTACATTTCCTCAGTGAGTATTGGACGTCCTGCAGGTTTAACTCCTGATGCTTCTTGCAGGAAAGTCAATATTGATCTTAATATTTATGACAAGGCTGTCTGACGGGCAGGCGGTCACATCTAAAGGAAATTACAACCCTGTGAGTCTGCTGTCGAACGAGTTTCTCAAACACCTTTTTACACGACTGTCATTGTATCCCTCTAACAAAGGCAGTCTCTGGGCCATCTCAACCACATGGTTTATATCAAGACATGGAGTTTGAATGCATTTAAATTCTGATTTGCATTTTGTCTTCTGAATCCAAATGTCCTGCAGCCACAGGTGTCTTTTAATTTAATTGTCTTTTTTACAATACTTTAGTGTTGCTGCACTTTCACTAAAAGGAATAATTAATTCACAAAATGATCATTTGTATATCAATCACTCAACCCTCAAAGTCTTTGATGAATTGTAGTAAATTATGTCCGTGTTTTACAACAAGAATTCAATGTAACACAAGGTGATTCATTTTGCGTTTTATAGGTATATAACCTACAATGTACCGCAATTTATAGGATACTTTTATGCCATTACGTGCTTATTATTATACAGCAATGATTTATGACTGCAGCTGGTTTTTGACTGCAGCTGGTTTTTCATTAACACCAATTCTCGATGTTTCTACAAGACACCTTCCAGAACATTACAGTGACAAGTAAACATACTAGATACAACTCTTAATGAATTAAACACAGAATGTTTAATTAAACTATCGCGATACTTAAGGCTCACTTTAAACTGAAGTCTGATGATGAGACTCACCTGCGAGCGGCTGCTCTCCGTCTCGTGAGGAAAAATTAACTGTCACGCGAGTTTGAGATTATTTTGAGTTTATTAACAGGAGTGTGAGACTCCGCCCACTGCAGCACCATCATCACCTGGAGGCTGGAAAACACGCTCTGATGAAGATGATGATTATGAAGATGGTAAAATAAAAAGATAGTCCACATTGTTTTTTAGTAGGCTAAAAGTAATCATTTAACAGAGTAAAAGTCATGCATTTAAAACTTTATTTAAGTGTTAGCATCTAATTGTTCCTTAAAACTAATCTTAAATATTTATTCATCTCATTTAAACTTGCACAATTATTATTGAATAGTTGAAAAGGAGCAGGGGGGTGGAAGCACATGCACAATGTAAACACTGCATCAATTAAAACAACAAAGTCCATCACTTTTGTTATGTAAAATCAGCTAACAATGGAGCAATTGCTGAAAATACTTGCTTTAAAAGTATACTCTGTTAAATATGGAGCTACAGCCAGTAGCTTGTTAGCTGAGCTTAGCACAGACTGGACAACAGCTCAACATATTGAAAGTTTAATAATGAAACTGTTGTTTCCCAATTGTTTAATCTGTTTATTTAATTGTACCATGGGAGATTAGAGTTATTACTTTGTATTTTAAAAGGGAGTTTAGGGCTTAATTCCACATTGGATGAACTCAATTTGATACTTGCTATTTAAATTAAACTCATACACTACACACAAGGATGTTTTCATCAGCATTTCCTGATGATTAACTCTCCCTCGTCTTCTATTAGTCTTCAACATGTTGTCCTTGTGTTTCACTCCATTACTTCCAGCACACGGATTGATGAGTAAGCCGGAGATCAGGGACATTTTACAAATTGAGGAAAAGCAATATACACACACACACGTGTATAAATTCACACACACACTAATGCAGTTACTTATAAACCCAGCAGCTCAGCGAGTGATGAGAACGTGGACGCTGACGTGGCAAAGTGTGTGTGTCTGTGTGTGTGTGTCTGTGTGTGTGTTGTGTGTTTTCAACTTATTACCCATTACCAACAAAGTGGTGACCATGACAGCAAAGTCCTACTTTCTGCTAAAGCACCATGATTTTGCACTTTTCTTAAACTATTAGCCACAAATTGTATGAAAATGAAGAAGAGGGCTTCTTGATTTTGCATTAGCAGCACATACTTAATACTTCTTATCTTTCAGTAACCAATATAACTGTCATTATTTGATGCCAAAATGCTTTCCAATTTGAATGAAATGTGTGCAAATAATACATACATATATAACATCTTATAGCACATCGCTGCTGTTTCTG